AACTAAAATTAAGTCAAGAAAAACAAACCTTTCATTATAACATAATGCAATTAAAAGGTTAACATCACATGTTGAGACAGGGCGAGAGTAGGTGTAGTGTTTACCTCCACCAGTATGAGCTTTCTGTCTGAGGCTCCTTCATCACCTGTCATCTTCAGACAGGTATACCTGTTGGCTCTGAGCAGGAAGTCCTGGAACTGGGATAACTGGGAGGAGGACGTCAAGTCCATCATCCTCCAGTCTGTCAGAAGAAGAAGAAGAAGAATCAGAGACAGGAAGGAGCTTTTTCATTAACACCTGTCAGTCTGCAGTCACCAGAAAACACACAAATACATTTACAAAATTTTAGAAACCAGGGTCACCACGATACCACAGTTTTAAACTTTGATATATTTCTAGTAGAAATCAGACCCCAATGGTACCTGTTCGATACCATGACAACAACACTAGAAGTCCTAGACAACCATTAATAGGTCATTAAAGGATCTGTGGGTCTGTATTTTTTTGTTTTTAACTTTAACAGCTTGTGGCTTGACTTTACAATAACTACATTAAATATGTAAACTGATGACATGGTATGTTCAACACCACATCACACTTCTGATGTTTCAGTTTTACACGCCCGAAATTGGGTAATTTATTGTTTTTAATTACCAAAAGTTGCAGGCATACTCCTTATACGTACTGATTCGTTAAATTATTTGTACAATTTAGACAGTGTGACCTCCTCTGCTCTGTGTCTGTTTGTAAGAGATATCAACATCACTATGACGGCAAGAGGACTTAAAAAACATCAGTATTTGTAGAACTGTGAATTTAAATGAACCTGCGCTACTCTCTCTCTTTAAGATAAAAAAAATGACAGAAGATCTTAAGCTTTTTAAAGCTTTGGATACTATCGATCATTAAAATAAAAGACATTGCCTGATTTTAAAACACAGGCTATTTAAAAGTATTATAGTATTGGAAATGTTGACAACCTCATTAGAAACACATCTGACATAAAGCAGTCCAGAACATCAAATTCTGCTCACTTATATGAATTTCCATTTTATTGATGAAGACACATCAGTGGTGTATCTCAGGTGACTCAGTCTTTGTCCTCACCATGCTGACTGCTGCTGTAGAACTCCTGAGTGGTGGGGTTGGTCCACTCCTGAACCCGGAGGCCCAGCTCCCGACACAGGACCTGGACTGTGGCAGTCTTTCCACATCCCGATGGTCCCGTCAGCAGCAGGATGCCCCCCTGTGGACGAGCACAGAAGCGATGAAGATGAGCTACAGCTGCTTGCAGAACCTCCACAGACAGCTGGATTCAGGTAAACTATAAATTATCACGTTGTTTAAACAGGACCTCTGTATGATAAAAAAAAACAACTCCATTCTCGCACGACTACGGGAATTTGCTCGTTTGAATTTGATCTATCGTTAATTAAATCTCTACATGTAAAATCAGAACACATTATAATTTGAACAAAAGATGAACCATGATACCTGTGAGGAGTTGGTGTGAACTCTCATCCAGTTCTCCACTTCTTCAATCTTTTTCTTGTGCACCGCCAGCTCAGCCTACACACACACACACACACAATAAATCTTTGCAAAATGTTTTGATATTTCAATTAAATTAAATTTCTGTATTGATGAAACAGAATCTTGAATGCACTTATTTTACCATCATAGACATTTATCTAATTTTTGGACTCCATGATTGAATATTTTTTTATAAAACTAATACTATTGTTGTGATTAATGCAAAAAGATTAAAAAATTAACAAATTTAACACGGAATTCACTTTAAAACTGTTGACAACGTATGTCAAATTTAACAACTTTAAATGTTAGTTTGCAAAAAACAACTTCACTGTTTTTGAAACCGTTCACTAAACTGTTAATCTACTACATATAATTAAAAAAGTAATGAGCAGTGTCACTTTTTAATGAGATTTGTAAAGAGTAATGACCTGTGGCCAAATAAGTCACATGTTAGTATTGTTTTTTTCACTATAGCATTAAGGATTGTGTTTTTAATTTATTGATGTTTAATTAATTTATATAATGTCATATGATAATTTTCCACCACATGTATGTTGACCTCTTATCTGCAGTGTTTTCTTTATTAAAAACAAAGGTAAATGAAAGTTTAAATGAAAGTATAGGTAAAAAATAAATCAAATAAATACCTCTCTGAGTCATGACTGTTTACAATGACAGAGAGGCATGAGTCCCGCAAGCTGTATTGTTGTCAGAGCCGTGTTTACATCATGTTTACATGGACGGGAAGGCCTTGTGTATAAAGCTGTTTTAGTCAAGGACTAGAGAAGAAGAAGAATAACATAGCCTACTCACTATTTACCCTAACAGCAGTAAGTCTGTTTAGATCAGGTCATTTTATAATGTGAAGCTTTGAGTTAACCAAAGTGTGCTAACTTTAGCCTGCTAACAACAATGCCAGCCACAGGCAATTGCAGCTCGAGCAAACGACAATTTTGTCAGCCACTTGGGCTTAATAATGCTTTCTCATTCTTAACTTCTTCAGAATAGCACAGGTGTCGCCAAACAGCAGTTTGTTATAGTTTTGTGCTGGTGCTCAAGGGCGACATCTAATGGATCAAAAAGTTGGATGTTCTTACTTTAACTTTATTCTTAGCTAATATTATGATTTCCCTGATTTTTATTGGTCAGGATTAACCAGACAATAACCAGTTAACAACTGAGGGTTATCTGTCCAGACTTGATAACCTGTTAGATGAAGTCAGCTCACTTTACCATTCAGTCACTTATATTAAATACCATTTGGTAGTATTAGCAGTTTAGCAGAAGAGGTTTAAATTCCTGGATAACATGACAATATCGTCTCAATTTGGTGTTCTGGTACCATGACCACCCTATGATGCTGCTGACCTGTGAGCATGGTGAGTATCTGTCCACCCAGGACTCATCCTGGTTCCTCTGAGTCAACTCTTTGAGCAGAGAGGTCTGTAAAACCTCTGAGCCGCTGCTCTCTCCTTTCCTCTTCCTGCTCCTCTTTGGTTCACACTGGGATTTTAAACTCTGACCCCCTTTTCTCCTCACAGGCAGAGAGAAATTTCAGCCGGAAACTCAGAGAAGGACGGATCCACCCAGCGGTTCAGCTGTTAGAAACACAATCAGACACTAATTAGTAAAGATTCATCAGAAAAACTGTATATCATGCCCTGAATTTAAAGTCAACTGCATCACACGTCAAAGTAATAATAAACAGCCAGACTAAAAAGTATATTCTCAGATATGTGCATCAGAAAGCTTTTGATGAGTTTAACATTTCTAAGGTCAAACTGTGGTGTAGATAATTAAAAATACTGACCTTGCTTTGAGCCGTTTTCTCTCCCACAGACAGTTTGTTCATCCTCACTGAGCTGCTTCACTCCAAGAGCAGCACCAAGCAACACCCAGAGCCTGAAATGCACAGAAAAAGACATTTTATCATTTCTGATTCAGATGAATAACACAGACAGAGATAGTTTTTAATGTCTGATACAGCTGAATAACACAGGAGGCCATTTATAATGTCTGATACAGCTGAGGGTGCATATTTGCATGGTACAGGGAAGTCAATTCTAAGTTATTCTATTGTTAATGCAAAGTATAAGCGCTGTGCCATCCACCAGTAATCAGATCATACAGGAGGGTCCAGCATTGTTTGTTGTGTGTATGTTTCTGTCCAGCACTTTAAAATATAAGACGCTCAACCAAATGAAAAATCTTCTCAAAGACTGAATGCCAACCCCACCACAGACTCTCTGAATAAGCCGTCTTCAATAAAAACATGTAAGCAGCATTACCTCAGACCCTGAACACGCTCTGAATATGAATATGAATTGTTTATGACCATAAAAACCTTAGATTCAGGGACCACGTTTAATAAGGTCAGACTAAAACACTCTTTAGGACACCAGTAAATCCTAAATATGGAGATCAATCCCATAGCAAGAGATATTTAAAAGCATCTGAATATTTGTTTATTATTTGAATGTTGACACATTTTTATATCTTCTATTTTTTTTCCTGTTGTAAATGGAGCTGCTGTGACACAAGTAAAAATGTCTTTGTCTGTCAATATAATCCAATCAATCTATCAAGCAGTTTTACAATCAACCAATCAGCACGTCTGCTACAGCAAAACAACACACGAGACTGTTTTTACGGATACAGTTAATAAGACACAGTTAATAAGACACAGTTAATAAGACACAGTTAATAAGACACATTCAAAGTGTCATCATACAGCCTCACAGCACAGTGGGTGGCTATCCAATGTTTACACCGCATCATATTTGGGTACTGTAGGAAGATAACTGTATCGCTTGAACTTGTGACCGTGTTAACTGGTGACAAAAGTTTCAGCCAAGTGCGTCAGTGATTGTCGAAGTTACAAAATGTGTTTTAAGCGGAAAAGTCTTCGCGAAAGCCTCTTAGTTTCATATCTGTCAATTGAACATTATGATGAAAAAAGCCACAACGACGAGCACTCTTTCCGTTTTCAACATCTGTCTGTTACTACAACAACCACACACACGTTCGGCTGAAAGTCACCAGTTAACACGGTCACCACTTCGAGCAGAGCAGGAGCACAACACACGTAAACTCTCTGGTACATGATAAACCTACATTTTACTTGTTTAATGTGTGCAGACGATGGTGTGCTGTAATTTAAACCCACTCACATGTTGACAGCAGACTGGACGACTAGTTAAATTAACTCAAACAAACGTTAGTTGGTGTTAACATGCTAACATGTTGCCAGTGTGTAAACTTACCTCGTTTAAACATCTGTGTGAGCAGCAGACTTCCTTAATAAAACCTAGTGAGTGACTCCCAGTGAGGGGTTAAACACAGATATACAACTTTTAAACTTTAATATAGCTGTGCATGTAGGTTTGTTTTATTAGAGTTAATTTATCTCTGAGGCAAATAGTTCATCTATTTAAACTCTGGTATCTGAGCCGTTAACTGGCTATGTAATGCCGTAAACTGTCGTGAAGCCTCAATCGGTTTACTGCACTGTTTGTGAGAGGCAGCATCCTGCTCAGGTTGCAGTGACAGCAAACATCAACTTAAGAGGTAAGTGTTGGATATTTTCACCTTCCTTCCATCCAGGTGTGTTTTGTTTTACATTTGCGGTGCAGGTTCACGTTTGTCTCCGGATCGTCATGCGTGTGTAAAACCATTTATTCTGTATTTCAGGTCCCCGGATATCAGAACACGTGTCTGCTGCTGCTAACAGAAACGAGATATGAAGATGAGGAAGCGACCAAACATTCTGCTAACAGGTGAGCAACACCTCTTACAGGTGTATAAAACTCTGCTGTCTATCTAATTGTATCTATGATGTTGTTTTTGTCCAAATCTACGACACCGCTTGTTTCAAAACCATAGAATCTGTTATGTTAATAGTATTTAAAGTCAGGGGATAAAACGTACCTTCTTCAGATGTGTTTTTAAATGTAATAAAGAGAGCACAGATACATTGTGGAAAAGAGGAGCGAGCACAGCAGTGATGGTAATCACTACTACATCACGCTTTAGCACAATTTGGTTTTGTTTTTTAAAACCATTAAAGAAAGGAATAATCTTCCAACGAGTCTGAAACTTTGCACAAACTTCTGCACTTTCAAAAAGGACTTTAAATGGATTTGAAGTCACCAGTCTTGTAAACATTAATGTGTCATCACAACAACCTTTTACAGCTCAGGGAAACGTGTACATAATGTTTTAATATCTTTATATTGTTGGATGTCTTTCTTTTCTTATGACGTGGTTGATTTGTGTTTTACTCTTGCCATCACCTGCCCATGAAAAACAGGTGGAAATGAGCTAGTTAGCTAAATCTGGTACAAAGCATGTCTTCTCTTTTGAGACTTTGTTTTGTCTACACTGTCCCTGATTCAGATAAACTAAAACATCTCTCCCTCTCTGGTGATATTGCACGCTATCCATTACTACTCTCCCTTAAGTCCTGTCCTGACTCACTGGATGAGATCAAACCTGATATCTGTTGGCCTGCTATCGGCTGGTATATTTGCAAGCTTGATGAGCGAACCTAATACTATCTGGCTACACCGAGGCTCCTGTGTACACCTGTATACTATCAGGTTTGCACCTACCTGCTTCAAGGGATCTGAATCTTCAGGTGGCTGCAGATCAAAATGAATGTTTCCCTCCTTTATTCTATTCTGAGCCACCTGCTACACACATTTAACATCCCATCAATAAACAGTGTGTACCATGTGTGTTTGTCTGGCAGACAGAAAATGAACTTTCAGAGCATTGATGATCTCTTTTGTAAAATGAAAACAGGACTGTGGTTCGGACAAAACAAAAAGAACATGACAGGTCTACAGTTTTTTAATAAGAATTTAAGTTTAATGAAAAAATCTAAACATTATTATCCTCACACAGGTATAGAGGAGTTTATTCAAATATTTATCAGCACCAGCTCATCTTCACATCATCACACAATTCATTGTATTGTCTCTTCTACAAACTCTGACCATGTCTCATATGATGATGTATTTAGTATTTCTTCATCTTGAATACAGACGGTTCTAAATGTATGCATGTTTTTTTGTGTGCTGTTTTTTTTTTTTTTTTTTAAGATGCAGGTTATGACTTTATTTGAGAGCTAGGACAGTGTATAGAGTCTGAAATTGGGCAGAGAGAGAGAGAGTGGAGAATGACATGCAGGAAAGCAGCCACGGGTCAGATTTGAACCCTGGCCGACCGCTCTGAGGACTACAGCCTCTGTAAATGGGGCACACACAAACTAACCATTAGGCCACCAGCAGCCCATTAATTCTACAATTCACTTAGCAGACGCTTTTATCCAAAGTGAGGTTCATCAGAGAGTAAGTACAACACAAGCAAGGATCTAGAAAAAAGGGAACAATGTCAGTAAGGGCAAACAATCAGCTTTGAGTCTGATTGGACACACAAGTGCTGACAGGAAGTGACCAGAGACAAAGCACAACATTGACGGCAGTTCCTGAGAGCTCTAATCAGTATAGAAACCATCTTATAAGTCGTCGTTATCAAACAAAAACCATCGTCACAACCATCATCAATAATATGGAGACCATCATCATTAAGTTAGTAGGTATTCATGAAAGAGCTGGCTCTTTAGCTTTTTCTTAAAGGTGCAGAGGGACTCTGCAGATCCACTGGAGTTTGGAAGTTCATTCCACCACCGGGGGGCGACAGAGGAGAAGTACATAAAATAAATACACAATAAATTTGTTTTTGTATAACGTAGATATCATGCTCTCTCCTGCAGGGACCCCTGGGGTGGGAAAGACCACGTTAGGGAAGGAGCTGGCTCAGAAGACAGGACTGACCTACGTTAACATCGGAGACCTGGCTCAAGAAGGTAAACACTGCAAAAGTGTGACTGTTAGATCAGACTGAAACAAACATCGGACAGACTTTAAGTTCACTCATCTGTGGTTGTAACTGTGCTGCCTCAGCCTTGATTCATGTTTTCACTCAGAATTTTTACTGTCTGCATTAATACCACATACAAAACATAAAACATCTAGATGTCAGGGTCATGCTGAGGCTATTTTAATATGTAATTGTTTCAACAGGACAGCTGTATGACGGTTACGATGAAGAGTACCAGTGTCCCGTTCTGGATGAGGACAGGGTGAGTTTAACTGCACATACAAACCCTGAACCTGTTCCTCCTGATCCTCCTGATCCTCAGCTCTGTTCTCTTACGCAGGATGTTCTGTTACCATGGTAACTTTAGGGTTAACCTTGCCACCTTTTCAAACAGTCCTCGTGGTCTAAATGAAACATCTGTGCTGTGCTTTGGTCAAAATATAACATGAATCAAGCAGCAGAGGAGGTTTGTGACCCTGTATAAACCAGCTCTCTCAGAACGCTCCGTTTTCATCACTCCTCTGTAGCAAGAATAAAAATGGCAGACTTGCGCAAAAGTGGACTGGGATTGGAGTCCATGGGTGGAGATATCAGTGGAGGGGAGGGGATTTTTTTTTACCAGAATTTCACTGTGATGTCACAAGGGGAGCAAACTTGAAACGGAGCTCTTTTCTGTGTTGTAAGACTTATGCAGACTACAAACAAAACCCTTAGTCGATTCACCAAAAGAAGTCAGGGTTAGCCTATGTGTGAACGCAGCAGGAAATATTCTATAATATTCAGGAGAATTTGAGCAGGTGGTGTGATGACATTTATATCCCACGACCAGTGAGGGACTGTTTCGATCTTTGTGAAAGTTAATGAAGCTGCGGTATTCTCTTTTCTGCTCTGCAGTATGTTCTTGACCTCTCTTTGTTTATGCTGTGAATACGTCCAATCACACGTAGCACAAACTGTCGTTCTAGTGTAGTCATGTGACTTTGGTGCAGGTGTAAACACTGTGTCATGTGACCCCTGCAGGTGGTGGACGAGCTGGATGAACAGATGGAGGAAGGAGGAGTGATTGTCGACTATCACGGCTGTGATCTGTTTCCTGAACGCTGGTTTCACATCGTCTTCGTCCTGCGCACAGACAACACACAGCTGTACACACGGCTCGAGAACAGGTAAGCTCCTCTTCATCGACACCTCTTCATCACACATTTACCTCCTCTTTATCATTCATATATTCTCCTCTTAATCCTGTACCATTAATTTCCTGGCCACCTCGTCACCCATCATATAAACAAAACCCCTGTACACAATAGTTATGACTAACAAAAGGTTTTCTATATAACCACTTTAATACACTGCCATTTCAAGGCGTGATAAGTATGCGTCGTCTCTCCTTTAATATGAACGTAAATCTGTGCTGTCATCAGAGGTAGTTATAGTGGTGTTACACGGGCGAGACGGGATCGGTGGAGCCAGTAAGGGAGAACGTGTGTGTGCGTGTGTGTGGAGCTTTATGATTATTTTAGTTACAGATCAGTGTTTCCCACACATAGACGATACCTGGGCGGGCCGCCCAAGAACATTTATGACCGCCCAAGTATATATTTAATTTTTTCATTTATTCATAAAATTGCTGCGTGCATGACAGAACAAGAGCGAGAAAAAACGGGGGAGAGAGTGAGTACATGAGAGTGCAGGTGCGCGCGAGGAATTCACGGCTCCGTGAAACACAACAAAACTTGTTTAAAAAGAAAAAAAGGTTCCCTCTTGACTCCTGAGGAGAGATTAGACAGAGCAGAATCACATCAGCTTCAGAGAAAGGGAGAGATGAGGTCCACTGTCCCTACATTCCTCTTGTAAATGCACTGGTTGAGGTGCCTTTCTCTTATCAAAACTGAAGCATCTCATGTCTTTGTTTTAATAATGTTAATGTACAGCTGCTTGCTGCTGATTCTGTGCTGTGCAAAAACTAAATGTTTCTTTGGGAAACACTGGATCACCCCCCTATCATTGCTCCTGTGTGTCTCTGAGGTCAACTCTTTCCTGTGTTTTCACTTCCAGGGGCTACACAGGGAAGAAGCTGCAGGACAACGTGCAGTGTGAGATCTTTCAGACCATCTACGAGGAGGCCATGGAGGCGTACAGCCATGAGATCGTCCACCAGCTGCCCAGCAACAGTCCTGAGGACCTGGAGCAGAACCTGGAGCAGGTCGTGCAGTGGACCGAGCAGTGGATGAAGGAGCACAACTAACAGCTGGACTCCTGCTGGCTCCTCCTGCAGGGCCACAGTGTACTTCTTTTCATAGACTGTGTCACCATACAGACTGATGATGTGTTTGAAGAAAAATATCGGTGCTAGAGGGTTATCACTATTTTGAACCACGATATGATTCTAGTACAAATCAAACATTATAGTAACCTGCTTGATACCACGGCAACAGAAATAGAAGTTCTAGGCATTCATATTGGGTTATTTCTTGTGTTTTATCAATTAATTAAATTCATAAACAAACTCCTGACAAACAAAGTCTTAATTAGACAAATGTGTTGGCAATGTTTCACACGTTTTTGTAGAATTTAGACAATGCTCTCTCTCTCTGGCCGCAGCTTTTGGTTAAAATATGAGTTCAAATATTTTGGGTGGTTTTTAAAGCCTTGTTACTTTTTGAAACTTATTTGAAAAATAATGGAGATTGTATTGTTTGAAACGTGGTATCAAAAAGAATCAGAGTATCAAACATGTTGACAACCTTTCTGTGTGCAGTCTGTTGTTGCTGGTGCCGCTGGGATCACTTTAGAGTCAGTGCATTCAAATCCTACCAGTATGTAAATAAATAAATGTGTGGAAACTGATTTGCCAGTTTAATTCAACAGAACTTTCTTTCTTTTTCTAACTTCAGCAGAGGTTTCAGTGTCTCTCTGCACAGTTTGCTACTCTGATGGAGGCCGAGCTGTGAGCTGCTCTGCTTCAATCTGTTCTTTTTCTGAGTCTTAATACTGAAATGATTCATGTGTTTAGGCATCACCATGTTTCACTGTGTGGATGCTAACAGGAAGTCTGTCATTCATGAGTAACAGTGATTACATACTACACAGAACAAACTGTTAGAATGAGAAGTACAGCTGTAGTGAGAATCTTCAAACACAGAGAATGTGATGTCACCTGTTTGTTTTACAGATTTTCTGCTAATTTAAAAGTTTTCATCTCATTTCACTTTAATGGGCAACCTTAAACTTAACTTCAACATATACAGCTCTGGAGAAATGAAAAGACCACTCCAGGTTTTTCCTTCAAACAGCTTCTCTACATGATGGATTCGTTTTGTTCAAGGGTTGTTGAATTTCAACACGGGTACACCTGATGATGAACTCATTCGAGGATCACATGATGAGCCATCGAAAGAAGCAGCATTGTTTCCTTCCTGTCTCTGGTGAACACTTGAGAGATGACATCTGTTAGAGCTAATTAACAATTCACAAAAGATTCACTGGCTACACGGGGTCACAGTGGAGAAAGAGGCCTTGAATCATTTCAAAACAAAATATAGTTTTTGTTTTGGGTTTGATTTTCTCTTAGTGATAAATGTCAAAGTAAAGGGAAAACTGGTAAATAAATGAACTTCATTGTTAACTCTGGAAAAAAAACTATTGTAAAATAAACTGAAGTCCTAGACCCCCACATTGGGTATTTTCTTGTTTATAATTAAAAATGGCTCCTGCACACTGTCGAAATAGCCCAAGAACATGGACAAAGTTGGGATTTGTGCATTGGCGCAAAGGCACAAATCCTAATGCTGCCTATTCAATTTTTGAGGGATTCATTTCTCTTGATGTAGTTTTTTAACGCTTCAGTACGTTTTTTCCTTTAAATACATTTTGTGTAGCTCAGAAAATAAAGCATAAAATTGTTTCACTTCTCCAACATTCAAATTTCTCTACCAAGTCTACACAGTGCACCTTTCAAATCAAATAGATCGTATCCTTTTAAACTGTGTGTTGTCAAAAGGTGTAAAATGTTGCAAGCCTTAATTTAACTCTTTTAATGAGTCCTTCGTGCGATGGAGGTGTGGTTATAATAATATCTCAGAGTTGACTGAGGCTGTGGTGGAGGGGGCTAATGTGAGATCTTTTCATGGGACCCAGAAATCCTGCAGACGCCCCTGATCCAAAGCCATTTGAAAGATCTGTGGAGAGGCAGAACCAGCCGGTTTTTCACCAAATAGAGATTTCAGTTCACTTCTTAAGTTAAAACATTAATAATCTGTGTTTAAAATGGACATGAACTAGTGTGTGTGGCATTATTCGCCATTTGACAAATCCTGTATTATTTTGTTTACTTATCCAGTCTTCTTTTCTGAAAACAAAATAAATGGGAATATTTTATTTGGAAGAATGGATTAAGTTGCATACAGTCGAAAACAAAATAATTCATTTTCCTCAAACACAAAACTTTAAAAAGTTAATTTAAAACATAAGTCATGACATCTATCTCTTTAAAGTTTGTCCAGAGCTGTATACTGTTACTTGGGTATCAGATGGAGGTGATTTAAAGGTCTGTTGTCATGGCTAAATACATGCAAATAGAGGACTTTCTGGTGACACGCACATGAGTCAACTTCTGTTGAAACGATTTTTCATTGACTGTTTCATTTCTCCTTCAGAGAGGTCAGACTTCAGACCAGGCAGAGTGAAAAATACATGTTTTTTTCAGAACTCAGATGGATTGTCATCTCGTTTGAAAACAGATCATTATTATCTTTTTGGTCCCTTTTTGGTTGATTAAGGAGTAAACAAGTAGCCTATACATATAACTCAGTCTCAGGTTGTTGTACGATTAATTTAAAATTAATTTGGGATCAGGGACTCTGGAGCACATCAAGTGAAAAGGTAAGTTTTCATGCTGGTCCAGTTTTGCCTCGTTTTTCGACTGTTCTGTGAAACTGTGAAAAGCTGATTTAATCCATGTTGAAGCTAATTAATATCAACAGGAGTCAGCCTTCAAGCGGTTGATTCAGAATCTTTTTAATTTTTTGCTCCTGTGAATTGTTTTAGTAAAAACAGACTGAATTTATTAGACTATTTGTGCCTCTACATGTATGACTGAAGAAGGAGACAAAAGTAAATAAACAGCATAAAGAGTAAGTCATTCTTTAGGCTACATGTATTTATAATGCCTGTAAATGCTCTGCCTCGGGGTCGATGTCAGATGAGGCGTTTACAGCACGCTGGTGGAAAGTGGTCTTTACATTTTCAATGTCAAAGATTTACAGAATGTGTGTGTGTGTGTGTGTGTGTGTGTGTGTGTGTGTGTGTGTGTGTGTGTGTGTGGTGTGTGTGTGTGTGTGTGTGTGTGTGTGTTGTGTGAGAAGTTTAGGACACATTTCCATCAGAAACACGTTTTTCTTTTACATTTTATTGTGACGAATATATCAGCACAAGGGGATGATAGGCTGACCTGAATTTAAAACTCCTATAGGCATTAAATATTTGGGTGATTTATAATCACAAGAAAATGCAGACAAACTCCTAAATTAAACAAAAAACATGTCTATTTGTGAAATGTAGACAGTGGGCAGGACTTCAGGTCCTGATTGAAGAATGTGAGGAACACATCTTTAAAAACACCGTTTCTACACACAGTAATCGCTTACGGCCATACCACCCTGAACACGCCCGATCTCGTCCGATCTCGGAAGCTAAGCAGGGTCGGGCCTGGTTAGTACTTGGATGGGAGACCGCCTGGGAATACCAGGTGCTGTAAGCTTTTTCATTTTTTCACATAAACAATATTGATTTTAAATAATCAACTATATGTAACCATAGCCTACTACAATATAAAACCAAGAAAATACAGAAGTAAGGTGACAACAAAATATCCGTTTTTACAGGTAGGCCTAAGGAAAAAAATCTATAGAATAATAAAGTTTGAATTAAGTTTTTTCTCTTTACATGGAACAGGATAAAATATTCTCAAAAGAGTTTTCTGTATAAAGTTTGCGACACGTTTTGATAAAAGGTTTTATGTATCACCTACAAACACTAACAGGTGTATTTGGTAACGAACTGAATTCTGGCTTCAGGTCCTGGATCCTGTTTAAACTGTGTTTCCATTACGTGAGCACACCTGGCTGGGCTGCAGCCACCTGTAAGATACACTCTGTCAGTACCATACGTCAGTACAGGTGCGGTGTTCACAGAGGCTGTCAGCGCAGGTACGTTCAACAAAACGGTTCTTACGGTAAACTAACGGTGAGTAGGCCTACGGTGTGTGTCCGGCGGCGAGATGGGTTGTTATGATATGTTAATAATTAAATTAAATGTTCCGCTATACAGTTTTACAGTCTGTGGTCCGAGCCGGCGGATTTGTCACTACGGTGTCCTGTAAGGATCAAATTCTTCTGAAGGAGGATGACGTGTAGAAACCCCCCCACCCACCCCACCCCCTCAGATTCCGTTATGATATTTTCACAATAAGAGCTAAAAAACACTTCTCTTCATTAGACTTTCTAAAGTTTACTGTAGGCTATTGTCAAAGTTTGAGAATAAAGGATATATTCCAAGTGTGAATACAATTAGGATTAATTAGCGCAAATGTTAAAGCTGTTCTTAGTTATTGCCTAACCAATGGGAAAAAATGTTTCAAGTAAGATTAAGGATGAATTATATTCATGTTAACAATAGTAGATTAAAGAAAAAATAATGTCATTACACATTTTCACATTTCACAAACGTCTGAAGTTTGAACACACATTTAAACATAAGATCTGAATTTGAAAGAAGAGCAGGAGAGAAACTGTTTTTTTCTTTAAAATAACTGAATTACAAGATATGATTAAACCTACGTTTATTTTTCATATAAAAACCCAGCTTCATTGGCGTTATGAGTATAGCCTGCTGATATGAACTTTGAAAGGGGGCGGTCGTCTGATGTTGAGGTTGATCTCTTCTGCAGTCGCCCTGTTCCTCCAGCAGGGGGCGTCGTGTAGTTTCATACAGCCTGCTCGTAAAAACGTATTAAACTCCGGTCGTTTTTAGTCGGAAGTCGAGCTTCTCTCATCGTCTCTGTGAGGCTATGGACTTCCTGGGCAGGAGTGTGTGATAAAATGGGTAAGATAGAGATCAATTAAGATAAATCTGACGTGTTTTATGTTGGTTTAAACCGGCGGGACTGAGCTGTGCGCGTCACTGCGGATCAGAGACTGTGGCGGGTTAAAGGACGGTAAACCGGCTGGTGAATAAACCAAACACGAAGCCGGTTTCAAATGTTTGAATCAGAGACGAGGAGCTGATTCTCCTCTGAGCTCTGCAGCTGTTTTTAATGTTATATCCTCCATGTTATCTGTGTATAATGGCATACAGAGCAGATTACCGCTAACCTTTCCACAGCAGCACACAGCAGCAGCTCCTGTGAAACACAGATTTATTACAGGTCTGTTTCATGTTACTGTTTCACTGAGCTCTCTGGAGTCATTACATGTTTGCACTTGGATCAGAACTTTATCCATCTTTCTCAGGTTTGTTCTTATTTTCCGTCTGCTTGGTTTAGTTTGGCTGAAAGTTGTATCTCTGCTCTCATTTTGAAACCCAAATATTACAGCTGTGATAGACTTTGATGACTAGTTTGCAGCAACCTGCCCTGTAAACACGAAGTGTAGAATTAATGTCTGACAAGTTTCAAGCTTCTAAAACCATGATAACCACCTTGTATAAGTAGAGAAAGTCCTTTGTAACCTTCTCAAACCACTAGCATCAAACATTGATGAGGTTTCAGACAACACGGCTTCATTTTATGTTTTTACAACTGCAGAAAATACTGAACAACACACCTTAACCAGGAGGGAGGATAGAAGTAACACAACATCAACATAAACTGATGTCTCATAAATGTTAAATATCTTTCATGCTACATGTTTGCTGTGTGGTCATCATGATACCAGAGCAACCAAAAAAGAAATCCTAGACATCCAATATTGGGTCATTTATCGTTTTCAGTTTTCAACAATTGCAGGTAACCTCCTGCACACCGTCGAAATTCCACAATTATGATGGCAACCTCTGAAAAAGTGGGTTTCCATTCTGTCAAGGCGGGCGGCTTTTTTCCATTTGTTTGATGATGAGAATCAATACAAAACTTTTGAAGTAGGCACGCACTGATGTATGGGTAAAAAAATACTATAGGCTCATATCGGCTTTGTTGACAAACATTGGCCCATAATGTGGCACTGATGCCAGTAGGCGATGTCTGTCTGTTGTGTTGTATACATTTTAAGATGGTAAGCTAGTTTATTGAACTGCTGATTCAGAGTGTGAAGAAGTCACCTGTTGTAGAAATGTGGTCAGGGTTTGAGACTCAGCGTCTCTGTGAAGATCAGAGACATGCAGTTTGTAAGACATGTTCAGTGAAATTTCAATCACAGCTCATTTGAGAGAGAAAAAAAACAGATACGAAGAATTAAGAAGAAAAAATCCCAAATGTGTCTGTATTGCAATTGTCTTAAAGCTAATTTGTTATTTTAGACATCAGTATCAGTATCTGCGCTGGTTTTTACAATCATTGCATCTCTATACAGAACTAGAAACAGAAAACAATCCTTGGACTGGTTCAGACTGGTGTCATTGTGAGTTTTGTCCAGCAGAGGGCCCTCTGTCACCATGGTGTTCAGTCCTGTCAGCACTGTCTGCACAACATACAAAAAGCAGCTCTCAGGGATCTTATACACACAGCGCTGATTGGTGTAATAATTATCAAATTAAAAGTCTATTTTATTTCAAGCTCGTAAAATTCACCATGGAGACAACAGCTATGAAAAAATGATCTGTGAATTACTTTCCCTTGAGAAAGTTATCTGTCTGAAAACTCCCTTGTGGATGAGCCTCCAGTGTGACGTATATTGCCTGGTTGATGAGGTGTTTCTGTTTGGCTTAAAGGTGTTCACTGTGTTTAACTATGACTGATAAGTAACTCAACAAATACCTTCAGGGCTCACTGGGTCCTTCAGGTTCTTACACCCACATGATGTTTCTAAAAGGCCAAACTTTGATTAGAGCCTATAGATACAGGCTTTTCTTTATACTGGAGACAAAATGGGAATAATTCAGTGGTTAGGGTCGTCAGATTTTTGATACTTTGATTTACGATCTGTTTTTGAACAATATGATCAAGATCATCAAAAAATAACAGAAACTGAAAAAAAATTTCAGGTCTTCAGTCATATTTCTTAATCGAGAGAAAGATGAAAGTTTGACGACATTATAACAAAATTATATTATTTTATAGGAAACTCAGTTTTTGTAAGTACAAAAACATTTTGACAACCTTACTCAGTCAGGAGCTTGTCTGTGTTTCAGAGGTTGGCTCAGTGGCTCTCTGACACATTGGACAGGTGGAGGCGGGGATTGAACCCCATCAGTGATCAGATGAATGGATCAGCCGGTTTACCTGGTCAGGTGTGCTCATGAAGGGTGCTAACATGTCTCCTCCTCCTCCCCCCCCTCCTCCTCAGAGAGCAGAGAAGATGCCACAGAGCAGGATGATGCTGGTGGTGACGGGAGATGACTTTGGTTACTGTCCCAGGAGGAACCAGGGCATCGTGGATTGTTTCCAGGCCGGAGGACTGTCCAACGTTTCCCTGCTGGTCAACGCTGCCGCCGCCAAGGATGCTGCTGATCTCGCTAAAAGGTTAATGATAATGGAGATGTTACAGAATGCACTGTGTGTGTGTGTGTTAGTTTTGTGGAATATTCTCTCTTCTTCACATTAAATCTACAGTGTCATGTTACAGGAAGTACTTTTGTTAGTATGCTAAATAAGCTTGTCATAATACCAGAATTTTAAACTTTGATACGATGCTAGTAAATATTAAACCATATTGATACCTGTTTGATACCATGGTAACAACAAAATAAGTCCAAGACGTCCAATATAATTTTCTTGTTTTTAATTACTAAAAATAGCAGACAGTTTAATTTGCACAGAAACATTGACAGCTTGTCGTTAACCAAAATGTCGCCAGTGTTTTTGTGCATTTTAGACAGTGTGCTCTCCGTTTGTAAGAGACATAAACGTCACTTTTGCATCTTTATGAGACGCCAAAATAACTTGAGAAACTTCAGTATTGTCCACCAGAGATTTTAACAGACTGTCGCTGCTCTCCCTCTTTCTCTCGAAGCTGCTTGTTGTGAAAATATGACCGAAGATCTCGAGTTTTACTCAAGCGTCTGTACATTTTGATGCAATCGATCCCTAAAATAACAGATATTCTACCATTTTAAAAAAAATGTGCTATTGAAAAGTATCATAGTGTGGACAACGTTAATGCTCGATCAAAGGAAAAAAGCATTGAAAATGTGCAGCAGCTCTCGACAACTGAAATAAAACGTCAAAACTAAACAGAAAGTGTTACAAAAGTCATTTCATTCAGTCATTTAAAAAGCAGCACCAAAAACAAACAAAAGCAGGTGTCAAAATTGTCAATACTTTCTTACTTGTTGTTAGCACCAACACTGTCTGAACACTGTGGGCATTTCACAAAAACAGTGCCAATGTTTTTGTGAAATGTACACACTGTGCTGGAGTGTGCCTACAGTTTTTGGTCATTAAAAACAAGAAATGACCCGATATGGGGCTCACAGACTTCTATTTCTGTTGCTGTGGTATCAGACAGGCATCCATATAGATTAGATTATTAGATTTTACTAGAATCATATCAAAGTTTCTGATATGACAACCCAACAACAAACATGGAGCACTGAAGAGATTTCATATTTCTGAGAAATCAGTGTTTGTAAAACAGGTGGTAGTGCCATCACCTGTCCGGGTTAAACGTGTGATGTTCAGCAGAAAATGTGTGCTGGACAAATTGTTTCCCCTTGTCTGAGACATCATCACTGTTTGTTAAACTGAGGTTTGAGGTCTACTTATAGGTGGTTAATGACATCACCACATGACATCACAGAGTCTCTCTCTCCCTGTCAGACACAACATCCCCATTGGTCTCCATGCCAACCTGTCAGAGGGCGTCCCCGTGTGTGAGAGTCTGCAGACGGACTCCACACTCGTAAACCAGCGAGGGTTCTTCCATGGAAAGATGGGCTTCAGACAGGCTCTGCAGAGAGGACTGCTCAGCATGAAACAGGTAAGACTACACCTGGGAGATGAAAACCGCCATTTTATCTCTGTGGTACCCTCTGATCCAGAGGATATGTTGCTTTCTCATGAGCAGCTGGCTGGTGTAAATCTACAGGTGTATCGTTAATAATCTACAAGTGTAATGAACTCCAGGTGGATTAAACTCCAGGTGTAATGAACTACAGGTGTAATGAACTACAGGTGGATTAAACTCCAGGTGAATTCACATTCATTGCGTTGTGGAAGCACGGCACAGCGGAAGGCTCCACATAGACACACAGTCAGACATGCACACACAGCGCTGCACTCGCCCTCTGGCTTCGCTGATTCCATCTTGCGTATGTAACGCCTCTGTTACTGCCTCCAAAGACGGTACAGAGGTGGGCTCACTTCGTCCCCCCCATGACGCCTCCGTGACATTGAGATAGGAGGCAAAATGTCACAGAGGCGTAAACATTGCTTGAAACGGCAGTCTGAATAGGGCTCCTGATTAAAGGCCCTTCACATGCTGATGAAAGTTGTCGGCATGTGAAGACGATGCTGCACAGGTGGGCATGTCTTCAAACATTTTGTAGGTTATATGCTTTTAAAACACGGCTCACAATTTATTCAACAGAGATGTTCATTTCATTGTGACTGGACCGGATTAGTTTTTGGATCAACCAATCGCAGCTTCTGAAAAAAATGTGTCATACCTAGAAACAGGGTGGACCACACCTCCTCATTAAGATAAAGGTGTGAGTCCTTTCCTCGCTCAGAGTAGCTCTGACAATGTTGATACATCCCTCCTAAACTAGGACTCCCTGCTCTGATGCTTTAAAGCTAAGTTAGGAGTTCTCTGAGAGGATTCTCTGAATTTCTGTGAATCTGGGCCCAGGTGTGTTTTTGCTCCTCAGGTGGAGCTGGAGCTCAGAGCTCAGGTGAGGCTGTTCATGGAGCTCACAGGTCACCTGCCTCATCACATGGACGGACACCAACACGTCCACGTCCTGCCAGGTAACCGTCAGCCACTGCTGTAGAGGACACAACAAGCTGAACACGTCATCAGAGTTAATTAAAAATCTAAACAAACTGTTTATTCTGACAGCTGTGTTCGGTGAACTGATGCAGTGTTACCTCTTTCAGGTGTGCGTGAGGTGTTTGCTCAGGTGCTCTCTGACCTCAGCATCAGGTTCACTCGTGTTCCAGTTGAAGCGGGTTTACACAGCTGCACCTGGCTGCCCCCTCCCCTGCACAGGTTCTACAACCAGGTAGAGCAAGACGCTCTGGACTCCATCCCCGTCTTCACACGCTACGGAATCAGGTCAGATCTGTGTGTGTGTGTGTGTGTGTGTGTGTATAAGATCAGTGTGTGTGTGCAGTCCCTCTTCCTCTGATGGATGAATCACAGTCTGACCCTCTCGTTGTCCTCAGGTGGCCCCATATGTACCTGGGACTGACCACCATGGGCCACAACATGTCTGTGTCTAACCTGCAGAGGGCGCTCCATCTGGCGCTGTCAGCAGGACGCTCAGGCTCTTCCTCCGGCGGGGGGTCGGACTCCGATCAGCCCGTGGTCACAGCAGAGCTCATGGTCCACCCGGGTTACCCCAGTCTCCATCAGCAGGGGGGTTGTGGAGAGGGACCCGACGACTTCTCCAGGTCAGCTGACAGACAGCACGAACTGAGTGTGCTCAGAGACCCCGCCCTGCTGGAAGTGTACAGGCAGGAGAGGGTGCAGCTTTGTGCCTTTAAAGACCTCTGACACCAACACACACACCAAGTGAAGTTTACAACAAGTAAACACTCTAAACCTGTGTTAATTAATGAACAATAGCTTTCATCTGCCCCGGCAGCTCAGGTTAAAGGTCACTAACTGAGCAGACAGTAGCCTGTGGAGTGAAAGACATGACTGTAACAAACATATTTGATCCTTTTATAGAAATACTAAACCTGCCACGTTGGTTAAACTGGATTAAAACTGAATATTTTTATAAACTGATAATTTAATCACAGACAGGAACATGATTTCATACTACATAAGATGAAGGAACTTTTAGAGAGAGATAGTAGAGAGCGTGACCTCAGGACTTTAGCTCTGTATAGACGGAGAAGCACTACATAGTACATTTACACATGCTGGGGAATCATGTTCTGCTGTGACAGTTTGATATCAATGTGGAGAGGTTGGTTCTTTTTGAAAGCCATAAAAAAAGTTCTGTCGTATACAATTTTAGATACAGATAAACATTTTGCAGCACTGTGTGCTCGTTATTGCACATTTCAGGTAGACCTGAGTTTAAAAATAGAGACCTAGACACCCAGTATTGTGTCATTTCCTGTTTGAATGAGCATAAATTGCAGGCAAACTCCTGCCCACTGTTTTCTGTACGGTGCAATATGGACAGTGTGCTGGAGTTTGACTTAAACTTCTGATTCATTCCTCTCCTACACACCTCGTATTAAACAGACGGTTTTATGTTTTAAAGCTTCAGCGCTTTTTGATACTATCAATTATTAAAATAACAGAGTTTGTATCTTTTTAAAACATGTGGTATGAAAAGGTGTAGAACATTTTGACAGCATTACAGTAATTAAATTGTCATCAAGACTGGCAACCCCCCCCCCCCACTCAAAACAGCCTGTCGGTCAATTTCAAATGTAGATCAGTTATAATTACGAAGAAAAAATGCTGCATTCTGCCATTTGGATTTCAACTTTAGTTGCTAAAAAGTCACCATGCACAAAGACCAAATCCCTACACAACAACAAATCAAATTAACCCTTAAAGGTTCATCATTTTCATTTGTGGATTTTTTTTTTTTTTTTTTTTTTTGTTGCAAGAATTGAAAAGATTAGGGGTTTAGGGTTAGGATCATTAGCTCTTATTGTTTCTGTAAATCTTTTTAGGAAGCATTACTAAATTTATTGGAAGAAAATAGAGTTGTACCTAATAATCAGTAAACACTCTGTCCATAGCACAGATAGCACATCGCACTGTGTTGAGCTCATTAAATTGAGCGTCACCTTTTCCATTTGAGTTTAAAAATGTAAATGTTGGTAAAGGCTATATATGTGTTTCTTTAGTTTAATTATAAGTCACTGTAATAGTCTGATATAGTGTCATATATTTCTTCCAGTTTGACCATCCAGCTGTCAGGTTCAAATGAACGTGGCTCTCTTTGGAATCAAAGTTGCCCGTCTCTGACCCAGAGTGTCTGATGTTGATCAATCTCAGTTTATAAGGCAGCTCTCCTCTTTGAACCGGCTGTCTTTATAAACATGAGAGATAGTTTTTACACGTCAAAGAGAATCTCATCTCGGAGGAGCTAACGTTGCTCAAATAGTCTAAACTTTGCACCAGGGTTATCCCGATACCAGAATTTTAAACTTCACTCTCTTTTCATTTAAAATATGACTGAAGATCTGGATTTTTTAAGCTTCAGTACATTTTGATACTATCGATCATTTAGGTGATGGAGATGGTATCTTTTAAAAACACAAAAAGTACTTTGCACAGCTTTTAGAAGATTTTGAAAAACAGTATTTAAGGTATTTTCACATGTTTAAAAAGCTCTATGACACCCAATGTTACACAGAGCATCCTCCACAGTCCAGTTTACCTTAATGTACAGAGTGTGGGAGCGTGTGTATCATGTCTTTACCTACAAATAAACACGTCGGACTCACACAGAACTGAGAAGGAGGAATCAAACATTTTAAAAGTCCTGTGGGTGTTTTAGGCTTATTTTTGTATGTAAAGGAGCTGCGCTTAAATGAACTCCTCACAGATTTCATCTGATTCACCTGAAGCTTGTTCAGTGAGCTGTCAGGTCGTTAAATATTTATTTAAAGGTTTGTTTTTATTTTTGTTGAACAGCACGGCCATAGTGAATTTCTCCTTCACCGTGAAACAGGAGGCGGTTTTATCTCGAAAAAGAAAATGTCCAATCTACCTCAAACGTCCTGTTTGATAAAGTTTTGGATTGTTGACTCTACATGTCAATTGTAGCGCCACCTCCTGGTTTTAAGAAGTAAGCATTGACATAATGCACAATGTCCAGTGTGTGCTATTGTTTCTTCTAGCACCACATAGTGGACACAGACTGACATTGCACTCCTTCCTGCAGTCCAGTGGTCCGCTCAGTGTCCTGTAATGATCCAGAGGTTAGACTGTACGGTGACGTTAACATATTCAACCCTGCACATCTATTTTTATAATATTTGAACTGTGCTCTCCTTCAGTTTGAGCTCATAACGTGTTTGATGTGGATAAACTGCTGCTACGTTTCAACCTGTGACATCACAGAGTTCTCACACCTCAGATGAATCATTGTGCGTCAAACGTTTACCTTTACCTAACTTAATTTAGACTCAGGGTGTAATCAAGTTACATTTTCCTCTCAGTAATCATCAGATCTTAATGTCAGAGTGAAGTTTCTCACGGTCCACAATCAAGGTTGTGTCCTTGTGTGTTGTCTGTCACTCAACAGAGGAGTTGAAAACAATGGGAGCAGACAGGTGTAACAGGAAGTGTGTTGTAATCACAGCTGAGGGAAGCCTTGACTCTGTGATTTAATGATAGGTGGTTATTGTCTCAGGTGTGTGGAGAACATTGATCAGCCTCCATGCGTTTGTCAGAAGGTGAATGTGTTTAACTTGCAGGATGTTTGTTTGTAATATTTATAACTGCTCTTATATTTCTATAGAAGTATCTGTTGACACTTTTTATGCATAGTTCTATTAAAACTGAAACAATGATCAGAACATTAATAAAAGATGTTGAATAACTGTCTCGTGTTTCTGTTACTTTAAGAAATAAAACAGGTTTGTGTGTTTAATATCACTACACAGCGATTCCCAACTTTTTATTTGGAGCTAAATCACTGTCATCACCTCTGATGAGTCATTTGAAAGTATTTTAGTGTTGTCACAATATCAGAATTTAAACTTTAATATTATTCTAGTTACAAATGAAATGCTCTGAAGGGGCGCTGGATAGCCTAGCGTCTATGTTGCCTGCTCCACATATGGAGGCTATAGTCCTCATCGCAGCAGTCGTAGGTTCAAATCCTCCTCGGCCCTTTGCTGTATGTCAACCCCCACTCTTTACTTCCAACATTACCTGTCTTTCTTCAGCTGCCCTCTCTAATACAAGCAAAAAGGCACCAAAAATAACTTTAATAGAAATTAAATGCGACCGATACCTGTCTGAATTGCATTTAAAAATTGTTCAGTTTAGTCACTGTGCAGGAGTTTCTTTTTAATTGTAAGGAATTCCTTCCTGTCCTACACACCTGTCTATTTAATAACGCCATCAATTATTAAATAACTGAGATTGTATTGATTTCAAACATGGTATCAAAAGTATGGAAAATGATGACTTCCTTAGAACATATAAGTAAACTTATCTCTGAACAGTCCAGCACACTGAACATCTCTGTTGTATTTTACTGGATCAGAATTAAACTAAATCACTGAACGGCTGGTATGGAGTACTGAAAGTGCCAAAATGAAATATATAAATATATAATTAATTAAATCATTAAATGTGTCATCAATTATTTAATATTAGAAATAAATCAACAAATATATAAATACTTATATAATTATTTAATTAATTAAATGCATGTGTTATTAAATAATTATTTAAATGTGTCATTCATTATTTAAAATTGTTAATATATAAATAAATAAATAATATATGACATACATAAATAATTAAATAAATGTTTAAATAATTATTTAAAATGTTAATTCATTCTATGTAAAAACACATCTATTTATTCCACTATTTATTTAATTATTTCATGTTTCCTGCTCCAGCAGTGCATCATGAAATAATTTTATCTGTCACCCTCTCCTATCAAACTCAGTGGGCGGGATTAACGCTGCTCGAGTCACAAACCATTGCTGTGGTCTGCAGGGTTGCCAGATTAGGCACTTAACCCCAAAATGCTTTGGTGGTGTATGAACGGGATTAGTTACTTCTGATGGTCACTTTACATAACAGCCTCTGCCATCAGTGTGTGATTTGTTTTTTTTTATCTGCGGTGTAAAAGTGCTTTGAGTAGTCAGAAGACTAGAACAAGCAGAAGTCCATTTACTGTTTAACATGAAATCCATCTGCTGTGATGTGATGAAAACATGAATGAACTGAGACCTAAACATCATGGAGTATTTTCACCGCCACACGCTTTTCATACCTCTGTGTGGTTTTCATGGAACACAACTAATATTTATTAACCGATTATTTATGCAAAAGAAACAGAATCTGGAGGTCCAGGACCAGGATTTATAAGAAGTGTTCTGGACTGCAAACAAAGGCCACACACACAAATGAAAGTCCTTTATCATAAACTTCTGGATACAGTGGAAGCTCCATGAAGTTTGAAGAGTTTTCTGCACCCACAGGTTCCCATGATGCAGCGGTGAAGTTGCACACATGCGCTGAAATTGTACAAAGTTGTTGGCAATGTTTCTGTACCGTTACATTGCCAAAAAATTTGTACTATTGAGACCGGTGGTTCTCAATTGGTGGGTCGGGGCCCACAAGTAGGTCGCTGAGCTGTACTTAGTGGGTCGTAAATGAGGGCCTGGTAAGAAAACGCCATCAAAAAGTCCAATTAAGCTTTTTAAATATCTTCTTGATCTGTATTTTTATTCTGACATATGCTTTTACACGGCTGAGGTTGAAATGACACCATCTTTCATTGAATTAATCTGACTGGTTAAAAAATGTCAGAAATTTGGGTTGCTCTTTTTTATGGAGGCGTTGGTGGTGGGTCCTGAGGCTAAACCAGCTGAAAACCACAGATTAAGGACGTTTGCAGGACATTCAGCAATTTTTGATAATCAAAAACAATACATAACTATCCTATTGTTGTTGCCCTGTAATCAAACAGGTATCATTTGATTTTTAATAGAATCATATCAAAGTTTGAATTCTAATTTCATGACAACCCTAGTTACCAAACAGGTCAAGGTTCATTTAGATTTTCAGAGCTTTCAGCTGCATACCTCGACCTGATCCATCTCTCTCTGTTCAGTGAGTCTGGTTCTGTTTGAGGTTTCTGCTAGTTTAGGAACTTTTTCTGTCTCGTGGTGGATTTATGTTGGTAATAGAACAGAGTATGTTTTAGACCTTCTCTTTACGGGAAGCATCCACTGATATTTTATGTGAGGATTTAAGAGATATGCAATTAAATAAATTAACTGATTTCTGTCAGACACTATGCACACAGTGAGCTGCAGAGAAGGAGAATGAGCAGCTTTATAAGGTCTGATCGTTAATGAAACTGTACGATTGAGTGTATTTCTATGAACTCATGTTGAGCAGCACAGGTGTGACACATCCAGGTGACAGCAGGCAAACAGTGAGGCCAAATGGTCAGCCATCTTTATTATGAAACAATATTGGGAGCAGATCAAACAGCGGTTACATGGTGGTTGTTTTTGGCCACTGAAGTCCCTTCCCGTGTCCTGACACGACCCCGGAAAGCCTGCCCTCTCCCAGCTGCCATTCAAGGTGCTTTTTTCCCCGGACCGCCTCCAGGAGCTGAGCTTCATCGTGCCCCAGGGCTGCTCCTCCTCCTCCTCCTCCTGACGGGGCTCGGTCCCTCTCAGCTGGGCAGCCGACAGTTGCTGAGCTGCTGGACTCTGTCTCAGTGTGGTGAAGGGCTCTGATTCTGTTTTAGGTGCTTCTACTGGGGGACGTCTAATTAACTCCACAGCTTATTCTTCTTCATCATCATCATCATCATCGTCTCTACATCAAGTGCCAATCAAACTATTCAAAGTGGAGAAATGATCGTGATGAGGAAAGGAAATGACAGGAGGCTTTAGTCATGCAGCTGGTGTGTGTGAGTGTGTGAAGATCATAAGGGGACAGACCGAGTGTGTGTTTGTGTGTGTGTGTATGCCGCTGAAGAGGAGGACCACATGTTTGGAGTGTTTGGAGACTAATGTTTACTTCTTCTGCAGTACTTTCAGCAACAACAATTCAATTTATCCATGTTTGGCTGGCTTGTGTGTGTGTGTGTGTGTGTGCGTGCTGTGGGGGGATGTGTGGGGGGGATGTGTGGGGGGTGGTGGTTGTGAATCCCACATTGCCGGTGTAGAAGTGGTCGGAGCTCCTGTTGGGTGTTTTTTTTAAATATTACTGATGATGTGTGAAAAGAAAAGAATCGATCACTTCTCCTGCTAAAAATCAACCAACCAGTCAATCAATCATGTCTATATGAGATCTATTGAACACAGGAGCTGTTTATATGGAGGGAACAGAAAATTAACACATGACTGAGTATTTCAATCTAACTCTTCATCTGAGCATCAGCTTCCCTTAACTTTGCTTTTTCCATTTTCACATTAAGAAAAGAGTAGAAAGTTAGAAATGATCAGGGCTTGGGGAGGAGGGGTGGCCGAGAGGAGGAGGAGGAGGAGGAGAAGAGAGGAAGGGAGGAAGCCGTCTGATCCACAGAGAGTCCTGGGTGGGGGCTGAGGCTGCTGCTGCTGCCTGGCTTCAGCTGGGGGGCTCTGGGGCTGCTGGGGGGGGACTGGTGTAGGGGAGGAGAATGAGTGAGGCAGGTGATGCGGGGGAGCTAAAGGATTATGGGTAATTGTTGGGGGGGGGGGGGGGTGAGATAGGAGAAGAGGAGGAGAGGAGGAGAGAGAGACAGAGAGAGGGCTACACGCTCGTCAGGTGATCAGTCCATTGGCCGCTTTTCACCATGTTTCTTTGTAAACTCTTCAGCGTTCTTCAAGAATTTTTTACGGTCCTTTGAGTATTCTTCTGCTAGGTCTGCCCGCAGGGGGTGCTCTGGCTGGGGGTCATTCACCAGCGCGATGAGGGACTGAATAACTGCACCATAAAGAGAGAGACAGAGAGAGAAGGGGGGGGGGGGGGGGGGAGAGAGACACAGTTAGTTTGTGTATGCAGGCACAGAGCAGCAGAAGACACAGTCAAAGTTTGTGCTTTCCTACTGATTCTGGGACAGCGTAATATGGGTGTCCCTGTCACATTGGTTTGTTCTTTTTGTTTGTACATTTATGTATCTGAATATTGTACGATAAAGGGTAAAAAAAACAAATACTGGGTGCCTAGGACTATTCTCTCCCTGGTTTCCGAACAGGTATTGATATTGTTAGATTTTGACTAGAATCTTAATCCAAAGTTCAGAATTCTGTGTATCATGACAACCCTACTTTTGTGTATTAAACAGTGCTTCATCTGTAGAGTTAGAAAGTGAAACTACAAACACTGTCTGTGTCCACACTCATTACCCTCCATCAAGATTTACAGACCACTGTCTAGATTACATTTTTAAGATTCACAAGTTCGTTCATTTTGAAATTATTGTTCCTGTGTAACACAAACACACACACCTTGGTCAGTTTTGGTGGCAGGCTTCCAGTTCTCTGCGCTGATCACAGGCAGACACACCTGGCCCTTCTCGTCGATGTTTGGGTGATAGATCTTTGTCTTGAATGTGATCTTGGGGGGCTTGAAGGGGTACTCGGTGGGGAAAATGATTTCGATCTTGAACGCACCTTTGTCATAAGGAGGATTGTCCTGAGGGAGAGAACAGGTACATGGTTAGTGAAGGAAGCTCAGGACAGGTACATGTCAGAGGAGTCAGACATGCGCACACACACACACACCACACAGGATACTTACAGGAACAATGAGCCCTTGCCATGACAATAGGTTTGATTCCTCCACTTGAATGTTTCTGAAGTTTTTCATTCCAGACCTGCGAATCTCATCAAGTTCCTTAGAGAACAAGCAGATAAGGGGTGTTACACAGTGTTTCAGAGTGTGTTACACAGAGCTTTATATAGAGTGTTAGACAGAGTATATTACACAGTACTGCCATTTATTAGGAGTGGTGACCTGCCCCTTCTGATGCCTTCTAAAAACCAGGATTGGTTATTAGTGAGTACACCAGTCTAAGCATTGACCTCATACAGTTAACTTATTAGTTTGTACTTGATTCACTAGAAACTAATTCTTCTTTACTGCACCACAAACAGCAGTCTAAACAGGAATGACTGATTCAGAGCAGTGAAGAAAATGACTTCCCTATTCTTTAAGGATTTATTTCATGGTTAGGGTTCAGTATCTTCATGGCCTGGTCCCTGATCTGAATGGCTGTCCCTTACCAACCTGTGCACAGCCTGAGGTCCTCAGACAGGAACATCCTCACCATTCCCACCTCAATCTCTAAAAATGAAAGGTGACCGAGCGTTTGCTGCTTCGGTTCCTCCATTGTAGAACGACCTGCCTGAAGAAGGGCTGAACAATGTTATCATTGCAATGTGTGCATGGGCAATAGTCACATCGCAGGACATGCAATGTCAGTCTTGTGACTTGTAACAGGTCATCCGACTCGTGCGGCCAAATTTCTGTTTAATAAAATCAAAATAGGCAGTTTTCTAATTCCATGAATACAAGAAAGGTCTGTATGACATCACCATCAGTAGTCAAAGAACTGACCTCTACGCATGAAAAGTCTGTGTGTCCCCTGCATGTTAAAATGTACAGGCCACAGGCCACGCCGCTGCCACCACAGATACATTGGCATGACGCTGAAGACAAAAGGTCAATCACAGATCTGAAACAAGTGTATTCCCATTTTCAGTAGCAACTCGTCCCAGTTCTCGTTAATACTGTGGTCGCATATAAGGACTGTTACAGGGCAGATGGTCCGCTGATTGCTCCCTTGTAGTGGCTACAGTTGCAGCACACGCAGTGATGTTTTATGTGAGTCACAGGCAGCTCAACACAGTGAGCTTTGGTTTAATTAGAAGTTACAATCATGGGGCTGCTCATGTAGACTAAACATAACTTTGAACATAGTAAGAAATGGTATTTCTTTTCAAATATTTGTATTTTTAGTATATTTAAGTATTTTGTCTGTGACAAGCCACATGTTTTTTTTGTGAAGTTAATTAAGAAACATGTTACCCTCACCATCGTTCCTCCACCTACTGTGTGTGTGTGTGTGTGTGTGTGTGTGTGTGTGTGTGTGTGTGTGTGTGTGTGTGTGAGTGTGTGTGTGTGTGTGTGTGTGAGAGCTGCTGTCAGAGGGCTGGACCCAGATGGTGATCAAAGTGTGTTTACATTTTAAATCAAAAAGTATCTTTTTTTTTAATGGAATTTTTAATTGATGTACATAAAAGGAACTGTCTGCCTGCATATATATGGTTATGTGTGTGTGCGTGTGTGTATATATATATATGTCAGAATGACAATAGATCTTAATGTCAGCTTTTTCAGATATCGTTCAGCCCTATTCTGAAGACATATTTAATATCGAAAGGTCTTCTTGTAGTTTCAATGTTTTACCCATGGTGCTTTATTTACTTATAATTATTATAACTATTTTGCAATAACTCATTCCTCTGGTCTTCAACTTTTGCTTTAATCGTTTCCTCTTTAGTTGGTTATGTCTTATTGTTTAATTACTACATTACTGGGTATATTATTGTTAGGCCACATGCATGTTAGTAATGTATAAATAAACTTAATTATTATCAATACTACGTTATTTCTATAACAAACAACACTGTGATACCAGCATTATGTTCTACTTCTCATTAGTCCATAACAATTCTGGTAATGGAAACCATACATTATATTTTCCTTTAATATTCTAATATTATGGACTGATAATTCCCATAAAGCAAATGTACCCTGCTTTAACTTGATGAGCTGAGTCTCTTATTTGATTATTTGGTCATTAAGTAATGTTGTGAACAATAGTCTCCATTTATTCTGCGACACAGTGATGTTTAACAAGACAAAGGTTAACCCAGGCTTTGGTCTAACTTCTTCTGGTCTGTTTTCTGGTTCTGTTGTTTCTTCAGGTAAAACTTGCTGCAATAAAAAGTCTCTCTCATTAGGGTTACATGGCGCTAGATATTCTAATTTCTGATCGTATCAGACACTGTTTGGACTTTTAAAATGCATGTAAACATCTTAGTCCGACCTATATCAGACCAAAATTGGACCATAACGGACATCTCATAATCGGAAAAGAACACCTAAATAAGTCGTTCATAGTCGGCAAACTAACGGCATGTAAACTCAGCCATCGTATAAAATGCCCTAGGCTCATTTTTGCTTTGTCATGTAAAGCTGAATTACAAAATACAATTCATAAATTTGTTGCACCTTCTGGCTCTTCAGAATGAATGCATTAATTTTTTACAGTTAACCTTTGCTAGTTAATCAATAACAAATAACTTTTTTATGGGTAAACGGCAGGGAAACTTGTCATGACTTTTACTTTCATTTGTGGCTTTACTTTATTAAAAAAATACTAAACACATTTATGACCTAGTATATCCAACACCACATCCCACATCTTGTGTATTTTGATGTTTCCAAAGTAGTCTGATGTTTTCTAGCGTTGTAATACCAGAATTTTAAACTTTGAAAGCAATACAAGTAAAAATCTAATGATAGTCTAAAAAACTCCTGAAAAACTCCTGATATTTCCAGGAGGAGCTGTATGTGTGAACGCAAACAGCTGAAATTTCCCCTCGGACTTCAGCTGGAGTTTCTCCTGCCAGACACCTAGTATCTACTGCTACAAGGTGTACGTAATTAAGAGGCTGCATTACGTATTCTATTTGTCAGTACGTTTTTCTCCACTCTTTTGTTAAGATTGGGATTCTGTTGAACTACACATAGCATAAAGGCAAATATTCACATTAAAGCCTCGTGTAGCGGAATCTGTTGCTTCGTCCACTACTTCCACGTTGTTGTTTTTTACGTATTACCTCAGGAGCAGTTTTTTTGAGGATCGATAGATGGATAGATAGATACTTTATTGATCCCGAGGGAAATTCAATTTTTTTAATTTATTTTTTTAGATTTAGTGATCTGTAAGCCGCGACTACAACAGACATGTTGTCGACAACTGTTCAGTCGGTTGCCTCCAGTGAACTAATTAGCAAAAAATACCTACAGATTGACAATGTTATATGAATGTGAGTCATTTCCTCTCACAGTGCCACACTAAATAATATGAACATTAATATGAACATTAAATAATTAAGTAGAAAAGTTACTTTACCAAGTTAATTGTATAATACAGTAACTCAGTTACTTTTTGATGATAGTAACTAGTGTCTGCCCATAATTGTGACACACTACCAAGGATTAGACTCCTTTTAAAAAAACAAAACTGATTATCAAACCACACAAATATACAGAAGTCTAATGTGGTGTTGGATATACCAAGTAATAAGATTACACTCTTGGTATTTATTGTAAAGTAAAGCCACAAGCTGCCATTCTCTTTAAAAACTACAGATATTTGAAATAAAACTACAGATCTTGCATAGAAAAAACGTGGCCTACGTATTTGTACCATGTAGACAGTTTCATTTTCGATCATTGCAAACAATGAATTACGCAATATTCAGTGTATAAGACTGCTGTTTGTGTTGTGGCGGTATGAAACAGGTATCTTCATCGTTTTACTTTAAAAATGATGGTGTCTTACGTTTATAATGATGTTACCGTGACAACCTGGTTTGAATGAGTTGACAGGGGAGAGGCACAAATCCAAACTTTAATCACATGCTAACAGATCACACGGAGCATGCGTAATGTGTCACCTCCACTTAACTCACTGATAACGGCACAGACATGAAGGCGGGTGTAATGTGGTGTTTTTCCAAGTGACAGACAATCAAATGTATTACCGGTGTGTGCATACTAGCTTCACCTGCACCCTCTTATCAATAAAAGCTTCCGGACTGTGAGCTCACCTGACGCTCAGAGGCTAACAGCTAGCATCCGCCGCTACCGTCTGAGGCTAGCTGTTAGCTGATTAGCAGACGCCGTTTAAGATCTGACGGTCTTCTGTTGTTTTAATCTAAATAAACTCTCCCGGTGATACAACACAGTAAAACATCGACGTCGTAATGAGTGGTTAAATGAAGCAGAGGTAGTGTGGTGGTGTTCACACGGCTGGATGTGGACTCTCCGGCCTGTGTTGCCGGTGCTCCGCTGCCTAACGGTAATATTCGGTAGTAGTGACCTCTCGTTTTTATTAAGTTTACCGATAAAAACCGGGATTGGATGACTCTACACACAACAACATCATCGCATAACAACTTATGACAAGTCTGAACGCGTCCACTCGCCGCTAATGCTTCATACTACGGAAAAATAATACAGATACTGAAAAAATAACGGGTTCGGGAGATTTACCTTGGCCAGCCTCCTGCTCGCCGCCATCTTGAAACTGCTGTGTGTCCCAGCATACACCGCGCATGGAATATGGGTCTGCTGCTGCTGTGAGGATTAACCCGGCAGACTGCGACTCCTTCACAATACAACACATCTACATATCTGTTAAATCACATTGGAAGAGTTAAAACTGAGCAGGCCGCGACTCATTCACTAAAACAAATCTACATTATGTAGGCCTATCTGTTAAATCCTTAGTAAGATAAAGATAATATAAGATGTACTTTATTCATCCCAGCAGGGAAATGTAGGTGTTCAGCAGCCAGCATACAAACACACAACACAACACATATATACATACATATCCCACCCATACAAAAAACATGAGCCCACAATACACAGCCAGGATAAAAAAAAAGTGGTATGGATGGTCCATGTGCATAAGTAGCTGTTACTCATAGACAGTACAGAATACTAGCTCTGCCAGTGCATAGATAGATAAATAAATAAAGAGGTATTATAAAAAAGCAGTCAAGTGTGCAAATATACAGTTTGATAGATATATGCAGCTCAGGCTAAAGTTTCAAAGTTGAAATGTCTTCTGTCCTTACTTAAAGGGGAGTCGTTATAAAGTACAATTGCAGTAGGTAATTGTAGTCTACAGATCAGTCAGGTCACAAAGCCTGTGTGCAGGGGTCACATCACAAAATAAAATGCACCTCACTCTACATCTGCTTTTTAACTAGTGATGTCAAAAATGTTCGATAGCCTACTTTGGTACTTTTTGAAACCTCATGTTTAAAAACTTTACAATTTCAATCAATGGTAGGGTATGAGAAAATACAAAAATTAAAACATCTCCTGTCATATTTTTACCAAAAGAGAAAGATAGCACTGTCTCTAAATTCTCGTGGCCAAGTTTTTGTGAAATGAAGATAATGTGCAGGAGTTGCTCTTAAATTATAAACAATAATTTAAAAACCAGTAATTTTCTGCATTTACCTTAGATATGTTTAAAATTATGAGATCATGACAAATCCTATACTCCTCAAATTTTAACTACACATCAAACGTTATGCCTACTGTTGCATATATGTAGACCTACACATTTTTATATTGTAATGTTTGTTTGCCTATTTATATAACAGGGCTTATCCTAGACATGGTTTTTTGCCGTTTGTATTTCAAAGTTAGCACCGCTTTATTTTCTCAAGCAGGCTATCTTTTATTGACAAAATATGATTTGCACTAATTTCAGGTGTTCATTCAAGTTTTGTTATGTCATTTAAAAAATGTGTTCAGCCTATATTAATGCAGATAGAAATCAAATACTGATATAGGCTTGAAGCTTATATCCAATAACCAAATTATGTTTAGGCTTTATATAATGGAATTAAAAAATACATTAAACGTTGTATAACGAGTACAATAAATTGAAAATGAAAGAAAAAAACAGTATGCAAGTATAAAAAATAGCCTTTCCCATCACCTTCCCCTCCTCAGTTTGTTTCAATTACTTTGTCTAAAGTATGTGCCGTTCCTTCTTCTCTCAGTTGCAAGGTATGATAGAGGCATCCAAGTCTTATTGAATTGTATCTTTTAGGTTGTATCTTATCCTCTCCAAGTCGAGTGTATTAGTCAGATCATCTAGCCACATCTCGGCAGTATACATGGGGGCTACTGCGCTCTTCCCATTAGTATTAATTTCTTCTCTGTTATAGGGCAGTAACAGAGAAAGCATTGGTGTGATTTTTTCCTCTCCAGATGCCTCGGATATACAGTATATGCCAAGAATGATAGTAGAGGCTCTTTTCCAATCTGAGTATTCACAATCTCAGACATAATGTAGCAGAGAAGTCCAGAAACATTGGATCTTGGGGCACATTTCAAAACTGGGAATCATCACAAAGGCGACACTTCTGGATATGTAGTTTCTTGTAAGTTGAGCATATATTTTCAAAACTGATTAAGGCTATGGTATATTCTCAATATTTGCTTCCCATATGGACATCTGGAATTACAATGGGCCTACCTGTAGTAGCCCTAACCAAAAGTTACTCCTCATGGACTTGGAAACAGCAGAGGAAGGGGAACTAATTGAGCCTAGATGTGGATTATATACTTTTGATAACAATTCAGTTTCAAGCCTTTTTTGTAGCTCATTTATTTATCTATCGGCTCTCACTCTGCAAAGGAAACAAGAACACGTCTCTAATGCAATGTAGACCTGTGCCTATTCCATTTATGCAGTAGGCCTATTAGGCTGAAATACCTTAACTCAAGTGATTAAACAATGTAAAACATAGGCTATATTGTATTACTTATCAATTTACTTTAATAGAGCTTAAATCATATGATATATATCATATGGATTCATTGTTTTATTTATTTGCCACACAACATGGCACTTGTAGAAAGGCTAATTTGAAATTATTAAAAATAATTATGAAATTTGGCCCAACGAGGTTTTAGTTTGAAATATGGCTTTAGATCAGAATCAATCATCAAAATAGACTATTGTATCATTTTAAAACACGAAATTTCAAATATTAAACAACCGGTTCTCGATCTAGGGGTTCATCAGGGTGGAAACAGCGATAGACTAATAATAATTTTAAAAACAATAATTGTAATCTGTCGTTTTTATGGAAAAGGCGGGTCTCCGGTGACCGCGGAGAGCGTCACCCGGAAGTAGTTTGTCTGGGCGGGTTGACTGGAACAACAAGATGGCGGGGAAAGAGGAGTTTCTGGTAGGCTAAAAGAAAAACACCGATTTTGACTCGCTTTTGCCAATAGTTAATCACGAAAAGACAACTGTTGATAAATTAAATAGATGATCAACGAGTATCAATGTTGAAATGGCTCCGTCAGATAATTCCGGTCAGATTGTTAGTGTTTTTTTAGCGTTAGTTAGCATCAATGCTAATGTTTTGTATCATCCAGCCGTCAGATTAACCGGTTTATTGTTAGTCAACAAACTGAAGTGTGTTTTTATTCATGATGCTTCTACTAACGCTGTCATTATATAAGTCATCAGGTGTTTGTAACTGCATCAGCTGTGTCCTGCAGCTGACTAAATATACAAAGTTAACGCTAAAATAATTTAGATATTCAACTTAAAGTAACAAAAACGAGAATTAATTTATTTTTAAATGAGGTTATTCTCTTAACACGTGTTTGTATCATGTGTAAACACCGATTTGTGTTGACAAACATGAAGCTAAGTTTATGTTTTCTGTTCAGATGAATGATTATTAACTCGTTTTATCATCAGATTTCAACTCAAATCTTCAGTAACCATCTTATTTATGATGTTGAATCTGAACAGTAGTTCTTTATCAGGCTGTATGACTCTAATGTGACTCACAGTCTGATGTACTGACAGTTTGCATCCAGCTAAGCATAAAAAGATTGCATTACCAAATATTGCAGGTAAACTCCTGCACACTGTTGAAACGGCACAAAAACAGCAACATTTTTTTGCAATGCAGGTTTTAATGGTCTCATTCTTCTACATTGCAACTGTCTCGTGAAATAGATGTTTTTTTTTCTTTAAGCTTTTGTCTTTTTAGATATCGTCAATCATTAAAATAACAGAGATAGTATTTTTTAACATGTGGTATTGAAGTATCAAACATAAAACCTTAATACTGTGTACTCTCTGTCATATCAGTATCACTGAGATATCGAAACATTGCCAACATATTACGTGTAAACTGTGCTCTCTTTTTCTTTCTCCTGGGGCAGCTTTTGGTTGATAATCAAACTACTTTTTTGTTCTATCGATCATTAAAAAAATAGAGATTGTTTTATTTGAAAACATCTGGTATCAAAAATGTATTAAAATATTTTGACAACCGTAATCTCTTGTTAATGCAGGTACATAATAACACAAAACTTGTTTATTTAACCTGCAGGAGTCACAGCAGCTGCTCTTTATTCCTCCAGTACATGAAGCACTTAAACGTGAATCTGAGTCTGTAGAATAATATTTAACTTAGTACTAGTTTAAACTCTTCATTTAAACGGAGGGGATGTGGTGACTTAATGTGGCATTCAACAATTATATTGAGTTGTAGACATTATCATGGTGCCAAAGCCCTCTTATGTTTTAAATGTCATACAAGTCCTCTGTCTTTGTGAGAAGTTGTTAAACAACAGCATTAAACCGTAGGGACAGTTTCCATAGTCTTTCCATTAGACAAAAAGAAAAAATCCCTTCATTAAAAAAACCCCAGAAAAACAAAAGACTCAGGTAAGAAAAAATAAAAAGCTGTTTGTTAACCTGTGTGCACACTGCACAGTTTATAACCCGTGCTCACTGTAGTATAATATATGGGTAGGAACCTTTGACAGTTGTACTGTGTTGCTGTGGGGAACACAATAATGACCCGCTCTAACTAGTCAGCATCAGCCTTCGTGTTCTTCTGAGTGTGCAGCAGGTTTAGGTTATTATTGTACACATAAACAATATTTGTAAACTGCATGCACACACAGATTTACAGGTGTGCTCAGATTTGTAATAAAAATGAATGTGTAGTTAATAAAACTGTGCACACAGTTTGTAAACAGCTTTTTATGTTTTCTTACATGAGCCTTCAGGGGCTCCATGGATGTTGTTTTTATTCATTAAGTGCAGAATAATTTGCTGACCGCCAACTTGCAAGTAAATAAATATTCCATCTTTCTCAGAATAAAACACAATCCCTTTATTAGCATTTTAGCAAACAGGGGAGTGTTTGTGCTCAGCTGGCGCTCGTGTATTTTTTCCAGGTTCCTGTTTCTTCTGTTGTGTTAATGTAAATCGTGGTTTCACTGTCCTCAGGTTAGAGAGCTATATCTGACCTCTGACCTCTCTGTATGCAGGAGTTAGTCCTGTAACTCACACGGCATCCTGTTGACTGGTGAAACAACTGTGATACACCGCACTCAACATGAACCTCCAGCAGCCCACCCCCCTCCCACCCGTCCACCCTGACGTGCAGATGAAGCCTCTCCCCTTCTACGACGTGCTGGACGTCCTCATCAAGCCTTCAAGTCTAGGTTTGTGTTGTTTTTCATTGTTTTGCTTTAAATGAAGACATGTACAAATATGGACCTGGAGGTTCCCAGAGGCATATCAGGTGACGATAGACGACGATTGACTTTGGGCTCTATGAATACATTATCTCAAACAAGAAACAAACCCTCATCAGATTATGCATAAACACAACACCAAACATCTGGACGAATATGGATGAGTTTTGGATTCTTGCCCTGTATTTGATACTAAATCCTCCATATAAATGTCCTACATCATACTATATGTGGATGTGTGTGTGTCTTTTTTGTGTTTTCAGGAGCGAGTGCTGCACAGAGATACCATCAAGAAAAATATTTTATCTTTGCCCTGACGCCACAGCAAGTTCGAGAAGTCTGCATATCGAGGTAAGAGTGATTTAAGCTCATTTCATCCTCAGATAGACGACCTGAGACTGAAATGTGAAGACTAAAGAACGTGTTTGTAATCGTGTGTTCACAGGGACTTTTTACCAGGAGGCAGGAGAGACTACATGGTTCAGATTCAGCTAAGGTGAGCTTCCTAACAACAACAACAACAACTCAGAAATACTTCTTTTCTTTATAGGGTTGTCGTGATAACTGAAATTTAAACTTCAATATGATTCTAGTAAAAAATCAAATGATATTGATAACTTGTTTGATACCATGGCAACAATATTAGAGGCACCGATCTAAAGTGCTCAAAATTCGGAAATATCTGCACCAAGAGTTGCAAATGTATCTGTGCCATTAAGACAGTGCTCTTTCTCTGTTTCTCTCCGGGCAGCTCTAGGTTAAAATATGACTGAGAATCTGTTTTTTGGTAGTTTCTGATACTTGGTTATATCATGACGATAAGAAGTGTTTTTTTTCTGAGCGCCATTTTCTTTTTTCAATGGGGAGAGAGCATTTGCAGCAACAGGTGGAGAAAAGCCCAGCTCCAAGGGTCTTTTTTATGTTTGCCCCGCCTTTTTTGTGTGGCCGTTCCAAGCGCTCAAGAAACTTTTTCTGACAGGCGCTGTTGACGTCACCGGCGTTCCCAAATGTAGGATATTCCTCGTAGTTGCTGATTACGGATCGTGTCTTCTTCCCACATCCTCTTTTCTCTGTGTCTGATCGAGAAATAAACTGATTCTCAAATATAAAACATACAGTGTAAAGTAACGGAGCAGTGCCCATCATACAGCGGCCGTTGTCAACCGACTGTTGTCATAGAGACAGGAGAGACGTGCATCACTTTTCTTCTCATTGACGATCATGCAAGCACTCCCGAGCGCACAGACAGCGCCTTTTTTTCCCGGGTAAACACACGAGTGGACACAGGACCTTAGTGATTTAGCCTCCTTTATTTCATTGTTTTCAGTGAGAAAAATCTGAATGATTAATGTTTGATGGTGATCTAAAAACACAAGAGGAATAAGATTTTCATGATTCAGAACAGTGGATAACAATATCCATCATTACTATTTTATTGAACATAATTTAGATTCTTTACAGATATTCTCTTTCATACTGGACGAGAGACTACTTGTGTTTTGAATAAATACATTGAAATCTGTTTCTGTGTGCTGTCCAGATTTTGTTTGTCAGAAACGAGCTGCCCTCAGGACGATAACTACCCCAACAGTCTCTGCATAAAGGTCAATGGGAAACTGTTTCCTTTGCCGGTAAGTTTTCCTTCCCCACTGTTAGGTGGTGGGTGTTTCTGTTAGAAATGTTCAATGAGGAAATCGTGAAACAGACTGTGGATTATCTGAGAAGGTATTCGGGCGTGATCGGACAACACAACAACAGAACACACATGGCTGACAAAGTTTTCATGTTAACAGTCTTTGCTTATATTTTGTTAGAAGGTACACATTCCTCTCCATTTGGTTAGACTCCTAATAGGCTAGAAAGGTGACAGTACCTTGACTTGTAAATGTCAGACATATACATTTCTTCAACCTCAGAGAATCACATTTCATTTCCAGCTCACATCATACACTTGGCTCCGATACAAATATAACTCTGCTGCTCTGAGATGCCTGACACGGCTACACAGACATAAAAGAAGAATTACTCTTAGATGGTTGACAGAATTAAATGTCCACAAAATTAACAAGATGAATGAAGTCATGTAAATTCTTAATAACACCCACTTAAAAAACCCTCAAACTGAGATATTCCAGTACAGAGACACTAATGAAGCCTGTCACTTCTGTAGGGTTACGCACCTCCCCCAAAAAACGGCGTGGAGCAGAAGAGACCAGGTCGACCTCTGAACATCACCTCGCTGGTCAGACTTTCCTCCGCCGTGCCCAATCAGATCTCAGTCACGTGGGCTCCTGAGATCGGAAAGGTGAGAACTTACAGCTCATGACAGTCGTCGTCAGTGTTTCCTCTGGACGTCATGAGGATAGAAACAGTGAGCTTTGTTTTTCAGACGTACTCCATGTCGGTATACCTTGTGAGGCAGCTCACGTCTCCTCTGCTCCTGCAGAGACTGAGGATGAAGGGCATCAGGAACCCCGACCACTCCAGAGCACTGAGTAAATACACACCAACTACACACTGACAACACACTGTTAGTTGGGTAGTTCTGGCTTGTTAATCTCCATTAATCAAATCAAGATTAGAGTAAAACTAAAATAAGGTCACTTCTTCACTGCATCACCATGTGTTCAAGAAATCAATCACATTCTGGGTTATGTGTCAATTTGCATCTTTTTGCCATCCTTACAAGTGTATGAACAAAAATAAAGTAAATCCAGTAACGTTGTAAATAGCTGTATCTAAACTATACAGCTACAGCTAAAGGCTACGTGTGTGAAAAAGTTATTAGTTATGAGAATGTCTCTGATCAGGTGGTGAAGTAGATAAAAGTGCGGAATGAAAGTTTCTGTCTCTGTCTCTCCAGTTAAAGAGAAGCTGACAGCAGATCCCGACAGTGAGATCGCTACGACCAGCCTCAGAGTCTCACTCATGTGTCCGGTAAATAACACACCTGTGTAGTTTATGTGTTTAATGTTGACTCTAGACTTTAAAGCTTGAAATGCACACACATGGAGCACTCTGGTATGGTGTGTTTGTTTTATTGTGGTGTAATTGGATCGTATCAGAATTCATAAGTCCGTGCCACAGTTTCTTGTCTAAAGTACCACCAGAGGGCGCCACAGTATGAACAATTGAAATGTAAAATCAAAGAGTTGAATGTGTGTAAAATCAACCTCCATCAGTTCACTGTGACATGGGTGTGTTTGGTCCTGCAGCTGGGTAAAATGAGGCTGACGGTGCCGTGCCGAGCGGTCACCTGCTCTCACCTGCAGTGTTTCGACGCTGCTCTCTACCTGCAGATGAACGAGAAGAAACCCACATGGATCTGTCCTGTGTGTGACAAGAAGGCAGCGTACGAGAGTCTCATCATTGACGGGTCAGACACACACACACACACACACACACACACACACACACACACACACACACACACACACACACACACACACACACACACACACACACACACACACACACACACACACACACACACACACACCTCCTCAAGCTTAATTTGCAATTGATCCTATCTCCCCTTTTCAACTCTTGCTGCAGCCTTCACAATGAGAACCTTTCGTCACAGTAACACATTAGTTTCCCTCCCTCACACACACACACACACACACACACACACACACAACATGACCCACATGATGTAACTAAATGTTATTAAACAGACAGTCTGGGGCCATGTGTCATCTATGTTCATTAAAGTTCATAATGACACTAACATGAAGTATTTATTTAGGGGCTGATTGGTGCATGCTTTAATAGACAAGTATCTGCTAATATAAAACCATTAAATATTCAACCCTCTCTCTTCTGAACTCAACCGTTTTGTCCGTCTCAGCCCGACAGTGTTACAGCTCCTAAATGCCAGCTGCACGGGCTGTTTCACTGCATATGACAGTTTAAATTAGAGTGTGTCTACCTAAAAATCGCATTTGACTGCACCCGTCATGGTCTGATGCTGATAACAAAGCTGTATAACAAATCCGTTAATTCGCTTTAATAAAGAGCAGAGTGTAAACATCGAGGTAAAAGCTCTCAGTTTCAGCCTGCAGAAGATTGTATCAGGTGTTGCTCATAACAATTATGTCCTGAACATACATTTACGTTTACATTTTGGTACATTTAAATATCAGATTAGAGTCTGACCGGCGTTGGTTGTGGGGGCGACACAGTTGCGATGGTGGTGGCTGGGTGTCAGGAACGTCAGGTGGTAGTAGTGCCAGATCACCTCGCTGACATCATGAGAACCTCAATTAGCAAGGATTAGAAACAAAGACACTCATTCACAGAATCAATCTGTGCGTTGGTGCAAAGCTGTGATAAACTTGTGATAAAAGTGTGTTTTCTTGTTCTTGTTCAGTTTGTTCCTGGAGATCCTGAACGACTGTTCAGACGTGGATGAAATCAAGTTCCAGGAGGACGGGACCTGGTGTCCCATGAGACCAAAGAAAGAGGCTGTCAAGGTCTCCTCTCAGTCAGTCCCAAAAATAGAGGGTGAGTTCCTCATTTATTGTCTGAATGTTTTTATTAAATGGTTAATGTGTGTTCACAGTGTGCTGCACAGATCGATTTTACACTATTAAAATCACATAGTTTACACATACTGTAGTTTATTTTTGTTGAATTAGGATTGTGTACATTCATCAATTTATCAGCAAATAGCATCTTTGTAAATATGCCGGAATTAGCAGAAAAGTTAAATTTCATCAGTAGTCCTAAGGCAGGTACACATTTACACATCTTAGGGTTTATTTACACACACAGTCATTCACTAAAACATAATTTAGTTTATTAACACTTTTTTGTATCACATTGAATTATCTTCTTTTTTTAAATGATTGCTTATTGTTTAATCAGATAAGAGTATTTTGATGTTTTTTTGTTTTTTTGATGTCCTGTCGTTTTCATGATGACTGCATCTCTGTCCTCTCTGTTTTTCATCGTCGCCCTCTCAGCGTCGCCTCCTGTGCGTCAGTCCTCTGTTGTCCCTCCTGCTGCTGAGCCCGGCTTCACAAAGAAGGCTGACGTGATCGACCTGACTCTGGAGAGCTCCTCCTCCTCCTCCTCTGACGATGAAGAGGAAGCAGACCCCCCGCTGAAGAAACGCTGTGTTTATATCTCCAAGAATGAGGAAATGCACACAAAGGGGTGAGTGAGCCGCAGACACACGTGCAGGTAAACACCTGTACACTTAATGATTGCATGATCCACTGACCTCTCAGTATTTTTTATTTTTTATTACCATCCAGAGAAAGTTATGATAACAGTTCATAACACTGTGTGTGTGTGTGTGTGTGTGTGTGTGTGTGTGTGTGTGTGTGTGTGTGTGTGTGTGTGTGTGTGTGTGTGTGTGTGTGTGTGTGTGTGTGTGTGTGTGTGTGTGTGTGTGTGTGTGTGTGTGTGTGTGTGTGTGTGTGTGTGTGTGTGTGTGTGTGTGTGTGTGTGTGTGTGTGTGTCATGTAAACCGTGCTGTCTGTGTTTTCTCAGAGTGTTGACCTATCAGCCCACTGTACGCGTCCCAAACGTCCAGGCTCTGGACCCGTCATTTCTGACGTCCACGCTCGCGGACTATACAGTCCCCTTCCACCCGTCGACGCTGGCCAACATCCCCGCAGACATGCAGAGTGAGTCAGCTCTCGTAATGACCATTAGCACTGTTTCTAGCACCGTGTGGCGCTGTCAGTAATCTGTTGCTTTCTGTCTCTAACCTGCAGGTCTGGATTTGTTCTCCTTAATTCAACCAGATCCTCAGGTATGACTGTGTTCCAGCTGCACCACACATCATTCAAACATCAACATCCTCAGACTCAAGCAGGGATCACTGACTCACACAGACACTTAAGACTTGAAGGGGAAGTCAGATATTTTAAAACTTTTTTGTGAAAGAGGAAGATTCTTTTTTAAACACATCAGCTGTTACATCAGCCTCTACAAACACACCAGGCTCCATTGTTCAAAATAGGAACTTTACATCACAGTACATAGGAGTAGTTCATCTACTGCTGCTTCAGTTTGTTCCATAGTCTTGGGTTATTGCGCAACTTGAAACTACCACCTTATTTGATGCCACAACATTTCGAACTAAATGATCCTGTATACATAAAGTGTAAAATGTGTATTAATATATTTCCCCATCACTGGGTGTTAACCTGTTGCATTTGATGCAGATTAGCTGTGAGAATAAAATACATGAATTGTGTTGAGGTGCAACATTTAGACCTTCAAGCCAATCATGTCATGTCTTCATTCAAAAGACTTTGTCGGAGGATACACCGGTGTATCCTCGCTCTGAGCTCCTCCAGAAGCCTCCTCTCTCCTCGATCTTTGCCTACTCCAGGTGCATTTAAAATATTGGAAGATCCTTCCTCATGGCGGTGGGGACTGATTTCCTGGTCAGTCGAGGAGAGAGGATGCGAGGATGTGCAAAGTAATATAATGAGAAGCATCCCCTGACTCTGATCCTGAATCCTGTCTTACCCCCCAGCACTACCGTCCTCAGATGTTTCTGGAAAACCTGACGAGCAGCATGCAGAGTGCAGCCAGCACCAGCTCCGCCCTTGTCTCCTCCTCTAGCGGACACTACGACTCCGGCTCCCACGCTGCCTCCTCCCTGCAAGAGTCCCGGGTCATCACCGGGGGAGGGGGGTCCACAGGGGGAGGGCCTGACAGCAGCCTATCAGACATTATTTCATTAGACTGATCACAGCTCAGTGGACGTTCAGGACAGACTCCTGTGGACTCTTTACTCTGGACTGAATGTGCACCACAGATTGGTTGACATCAGCACTCCGAGGGTTAAAGTTGCTTTATTTTACCCTCTGTGCTGTGACACGAGGAACAGACTGTTGTATGAGTTCTACAAGTTTCAGTGTCAGTTCAGTCCCAGACTCCAGCTCAGAGTCAGACAGGAGTTAAGCTGTCAGTTTGATGAAATACAGACAGACATTCATTAGTTACACAATCATGGAGCCCTGAGCAGACAGATGTTTAAAAGACGTCTCGCGCTCGGCTCTGCAGTGTTTTCCTGTCGGGGAGGATAAACATCTGGAATCTTTGTCCTCCTGTGTTTGAAATATTTGAAACATTGAACTATAAACTGGTTTGTGTGCTCACACCAACATGTCTGCCTTCACCCCTCGAGCTTATGATCAGCTTCACAGACTCACTGCCCTCACACCCTTCAGACACCTGTGTTTCTGTCTGTTTGAGGGTTGCCATGTTACCAGAATTCTAAACTTACATATGAATCAAGTACAGATTTTATGATATTGATGCCCGTTTTGATACTACCGCCACAAAAAGAGAAGTCCTTGACACCCTATATTGAGTAATGTATTGTCAATAGTTACTAATTATTGTACTGGGGAGGAGCCAAACCTTGCCTCTGTCAAAACGTTGCCAATGTGTTTGAGCAATTTAGACAGTGCTCTCTGTCTCTCTTGGTTAAAAATATGGCTTAAGCTCAATTTTTTTTAAGCTTTGATACTATCAATCATTCAAATATTAGAGATTGTTTTTTTTCTGAAAACACATGGTATCAAAAAGTATCAAAGTTTTAACAACCATTTGGTTTCTCTGTGTCGCTCTCTGAGAGAACACACAAAGGCGGGTCATAGGTCATTCAGAACTTCTCATTGGCTCTTACAGCTGTCAGTCAGTCCCTTTTGTTACTGGGCAGGTTTCAGTCCACACCAGTGTAAACTGTTCCTTTGTTATGTAGTCAGAGCAATAATATTTGAGCTAGCGTTAGTTTAAAGAAAGTTGTAAATGTAGTTCAGATTCTCAATAATGATCCAAGAATCCTCTATCTGTTTGTCAAATCTGCTGACAGGATCTATTTTGTTGGTCCTTATAATGTGCTGTCTCTCGGAGGAGTTCAGTCAGACGTGTCTGTGTGTGGTTACACCCGCTGACCTGTAGAGGGCCCTCTGACACAGTTAGCACAGTTCTGGCCTTCATGCTAACTAAGTCGTGACTCCCGCTCTGTAACATCTTATGATGTCACTCTAAGAGAACCAGCAGGAGGTGCTGCCCTAGATTCTAGGGTTGTCATGATACCAGATTTTTAAACTTGTTGGTTTGCAACAAAAAAAGAAGTCCAAGGCACTATTTTTGTATTTTTTATTTCTTGTTTTTAATTATCAAAAAATGCAGGTAAACTCCTGAACAGTCTACAATGTACAAAAACATCATCTACGCTCCTGTATGGAAGTGTTGCCATTGTTTTTGTGTAATTTAGACCGTGTGCACGAGTTTTGTTTTGTGTTTTTTGTGCAATATTTGATGGATTTATTCTTCCCCTTCACACTGATGAAACATTTTTTTTTAGTTTTTTTCTAGTTTTTTTATTTTTTTTAGCTTTGGTACTTATTGATACTAATGATCATAGAAATAACTGATTGTAACATTTTGAAACACGTGGTGTCAAGAAGTATCAAACGTTTCGACAACCTTAGAGGATTCTGAGATCATTTGACCGATTAATGTAAAGTTTAGTTCAAGCTTCAGACATGTTCAAACTGCCAAAAACCTGATCTGCAGATTACTGTCCTCTTCAGTGATGATGACGACGATGAAGATGATGAAGATAAACACACCTGCAGGTGGCAAACAGGGCAGCTACCTTCACACCTGTGATCTGATCATTACCTGTGTGACTCATCCATCAGAGCTCCATCTCAGGGACACACACACCGCTGAGCCTGATGGACCCGTTCACACACACACACACACACACACACACACACACACACACACACACACACACACACACACAGTGTCAGTGTGTGCGTGTGTTTTATTCAGATATGACTCTTTCAGATGTTGGCAGTTAGATGTTTTCATGTGGAGGCAGAGATCCTCTGGATTTGTTCTGCAGATGTTTTAGTTGCTGTGAACAGGTTTTTAAATTTCGTTCACCTCTGAAATACAGTTTAAAAACTCTTTAAAAAACATGTTTAACCCTCTCTGCTTTATTTAGACCGAGGAGATTAAGTATTACTGTCAATATCACTTTATCTGACGATTTATTTTTAGTCCAATGTCATAAAATTGTGAAAAATGCTCTTCACAATCTCCATGAGCCTAAAGTGATGTTTCCAAACCATTTAGATCACACTGAACAGTTTTTTATTTAAAATGTTTTAATGTGACTTTAAAGGCTTTATATGCAAATTTTCACACTTAATGTAATAGAAATCAAGTATATCCTCTGAAAATAACTCTGTGAGTCATGACTGTCTACAATGGGTGTAACACCTGAGTCCCACTGTCTGTGATGTTTTCAGAGTTTTCAGAGTCCTATCTTTAGTTTGTTTACATCGCCAGGACGGCCGGCTGACTCCTCCCCTCGCGAATAAAAGTTGTTTAATTGAGGGACTAGAGAAAAGAAGAATAACATAATGTACTCACTGCTTGACTGCGTTTCTAGATCACGCTCATTTCGGGTAAATTTACAAGCAGTGTGAAGATACGAGCATAATAAAGAACGCTAGCATTAGCATGCTAACTCAACAATGCACCGTGAGTTGTTTTGGTTTCATGCTGGTGCTCAAGGGCGACATCTACTGGATCAAAACATCACATATAAAGCCTTTAAAGAATCTAACTGAACTGTTTTGACATCTGCTTGAAAAATCTACTCATACACGCATCCATGATCACGACATTTAGAGAATTCTTTACTTTTATTTTTTTATTCTTCGTCATAGCGGTGAACTACAGTGAGAACCGTTTCACACATCTATAAGCCTTTGTGCTCAGATGGTGACAGGAATTTAAAAACCTGGATGAGTTACTAAAACTCTGCAGGACAGATTCTTCTACAGGTGGAGAGAAGTGTGTTCCTTTTTCTTAACTCTTCAAACTTTACTCAAACATCAGAGTCATAAGTTCACTCACAGGTTTCTCTGAGACTGCAGCTCAGCAGACTCAGAGGAAGAACAGACCCTTTCTTGTTCCCATCAGGAGGTTTATTAAAGAACTGTTTAATACAAAACTGTTGAGTAAAAAAAAGTAAATTAGAGGATGGTTTATCACAGAACTCTGTTTTTTCCTCTCTGTAAACGTTCAGCGTTTTGAGTTGTGGTACCACATGTGGCTGTTTTTTTTTTTATCATTAAAAAATTTCCTTTTTTATTCTGTAAAAATCTGTCTCTCTCTTTAAATCTTACAATTTTAAAACTCTCTAAAGTAACTACACTATGAAGCATTAGCGTACTTTTAGTTTGTACGTATTTCATCGTCTAAAAAACAATCTTTCTAAATTAATACTTATTAATACTAAAGATAAATACTTATCTGGTGCTATTTTGAATTAATCATTATAATTGTATTTTTTGTGATGTTGGTCCTGGTAGAAATCCCCATCAAAGGTAGCCTGTAAGTCAGACTTCATTCTACTTTCATTAAGAACTCATGAACAATATAACATTTTAACTACATTTCATACAGATAAGTATTCAGGTAGGGAAGATGCTTTAAAGACATTGAATTAAGTATGCTTAGCTAAAGTTTAACATTGTAGGCTTATAGTTCTTTTAAAGCGTTACCTTATTTATTTTTTTCACAAAACGATGGTGTGACAATGTGTTAGTCTGACCTGAGTTCTGTCTGCAGGCAATCTTCAGATCCAAAATTTTACCTTCCTTAAATTACAGCTGAAATTGAAGAGAAAAGATCTGCCCTCCTCCTCCACCAGGGGGCAGTATAACCTCAGACAGAGACGATCCCTGCAGCTGACCAACATGTAAAAGAAAATAAGTGCTTGATGTTATAAAACGATTTATTGAATCTAAAAGATCTGCCAATTTAGTTGAAGATTATTTAAAAAACATGATTTATGTTTGTGAATTTTTTATTTTTTTTTTAGAAATAAACTAGATATATAGGCTATTTAATATTCTTTAAGATTAAATTCCTCTTAAAGCATTAAAGTGGCTCGAGCTGATCCTGTCTCCAGAAAGTTATCCCACTGTTTCAAGAAAATAATCAATAATCACAAGTTTAAAATCTCCTCTATCTGACGTTCCGACGGAGCTTTTCAGAGAGGCCTGAAATCTGAGAGAAGTGTAACAGTTTCTCTCAATGACCTGCTGTCAGACGCTGTTTTTAATCTGTGTGAAATGACCACCAGGCCACATTAATCAATGTTCCGTCAACGTGTCAGCTCAGGCGACAGCAAGGCAGGAAGTATAGAGCAACGAGGGGGGGGGGATATGGGGGGCAGCAGGGTCAAAAGTGGGGAAAAGTCGACCTGGGAAATCGTTTGGACTGTCGGACTCAGTGAAGGTGGAGGTGAAGTTAAAGTCGTTCTCAGGTGTTCTCTGTCAAACAGCAGGAAACAAAAACAAGAGGTGGTAAAAAAAAGAAAATCAACCATTCATTCTTCTTGTAACATGTAAAAATGTTATTTCATAAATTCCAATATGAAATTAGAATTTAATGTGATAGGCCTACTTGTATTACCACATTTTATTTGATTTCATTTGATTTTTTAAACATATTTCACATGCGATAATATCTATACTGACCGATTCTACATAGAAATGTATCAGTGTTAATGACATGCCAGCTTCAATCAGCAGTAGTCTGACAATGATTTAGTCATCTATAAACATATATCGGGATAAAAGTGCAGCTGAAAATAGTTTTATAGATCTAACATTTGATCAGCTTTTAGATTTTCAGACTACCTAAAATGCATCAGAAATTATCAATCTGACCTAAATCAACAAACAAACATTTTAGAAGTTGTTTTCTTCTCCTTTTGAGTAAAGACCTGACAAAGCTTGACTTTTTAATTTTGAAACATCTTGTTTGTTTTACATCATATATACCACTGCTGTCGAATAGAACTGAGATGTTATGGCCAAGTGGCAACCTCCAGTGTTGAAAAAAGTACGCCAAATTGCAGAAGTGCAAAATCCTGCAGTTCATCAAGTGTCCCTTGATGCTGGCCGCAGACACCAAAAGTCACATACACACTTGTTCAAAAAAACATTTTTTTACAGCAGAAATTAAAAATGTTTACAGCCTGTTAAAAAATGAAATTGCTCTGATTAGCTCATGTCTCAGTTGGCACACACTGTACAAATGTTTTTATAAATCATCCGGTTTGAATCAGAGGTGAGTAGCGAACTGATTGACGAATGGGTGAAATGTAGCTGTTTTTTCAGGAGGCTTAAGCCCCGCCTCAGCTCTAACTTTTAGCTGTTGGAAGAGACAGCATTTCCAGCATGGTGACCACCATCGATGGTAGGCTTTCAAACCCCCCCTGCAGTAATAGATGGGTGACGTCACTCAGGCTTCGTCCATTAATATTTACAGTCTATGGTTATGGCCAAAGAAATTATAGCATTTACATTGCAGTGCATGAATGCTGCGGTTGTAACTGTTCATCCGCCATACAACCCACACAAAACACGTTTATTTCACCATTAAAATGAAAGGAATATAAATACACATAATATGACACGCTTTGATCCCTGAGGACAGCGCGGCCTTAAACTCTTAAACACTAAACTTAACCAATGATGTTAAGAATCTCAAACACTAAACCTGAACAGTAAACTTAAACAATAATGTTAGACATTGATGTTAAACACTTAATTTAATAATGTTTTACCCTTTCCTTAACGTTATCCTGACGTTAACCTTTATCCTTTGATAGTTTCAGACTCTGAAACACTTCAGGATATCACCAAAATGCTTTTCATTTGAACAAGCACAACAAACCTTCGAGAGCTGTAATAGGTGCTCAAAAAGACACACACACACACACACACACACACACACACACACACACACACACACACACACACACACACACACACACACACACACACACACACACACACACACACACACACACACACACACACACACACACAGCATCATCCTAGCTGCTGGTAGATGGCAGAAGATCCCAATTATTGTTGGATGAAGCAGCAGCAGTGGTTGTTTTTAGTGAGGGGGCTTGTTAGGTGTTAACCCCCCCCCCCACTCACCCCCACCCATTCTGTGTGAGCCGTGTTTCCCTGTCAGCCTCCTTCCTCCACAAAGCCTTGAAATAAACCATTAGCCAATATTACACACATCCCTAACTGTCACTCTGTGTAGTTTAATATGATTGTGTAGTTAGACATTTACTCAGGATATTTGGCTGTTATTTGTACTATGCAGTAAATTAATCTTTTATATGATTTGTAAGGTGGTGTTTATTACAAGAATCCGACCAGACTGATATTCTGACGATGAGTCATTCAGAGGATATCGCATCAAACCAACCAGGGGAAGACTTTTACACAGGTACTTTTATAATCAATCTGCAACTTCTAGTGTTTAAATATGAAACCAATGTGGAAGTGTCAAAAACTACAGTTCCTCGACCGTCCATCTAAGGCTGTCTGCAAAAGCTCTGGAATTAACACCCATTCCAAAATGCCCATTTTCACAGCAGAAATCAGCCTGGTGGAGGAGAGTTTCCAGTTTGTGGACCTCAGAATTGGCTTTATAAAGACGTGACCTCCAGTAGGCACTCCAGGTTAAGATGAAGATACTGTCCCGAGCAGTTGTTCAGGTGTCTTTGGATCTTTTTCACAGTGGGGGTAAAATGGATCATGAGATGTGAGTTCTGTATGCGATGGTACATACGCTCACAGGAACTCATTTACAGCAGAAAAATGCACATCAAACTGGATGTTCTTCCCCTGCTGTCTCCACTGGATGATTCTGCTCGTTGTTCAGTCCTGAGACCACAGAAAACAGAGCAGCTTTACACTGATGCAAAACATTCTATGTTTCTGGGAGAGAAAGTGAGAAGGAAACATCTTCATGTCCCTAACGCACACTCCAGATTCACTCCTCCAGCAACTGTGGGAGTAAACTCTTTCTTACGGAGTGATGGAAAGACATGGAATTACCTTACCTCACCCACATTCCTCTGTGGCAGTCTCATAATGTCTCACCATGTCTTATTGTGTCTCAATGTGTCTCAATGTGTCTTATTGTGTCTCAATGTGTCTCACTCTGTCTCAGTGTGTCTCAATGTGTCTCACTGTGTC